TGTTCAGCATCTTAGCTGTAGAGGGCAGTGTCACTGGCCCTCATATGTGGGATCCGAACCGGGGCCCTCTGGCGTCCCAAGCCAGCTCTTAACCATCTTGTCACTCGGCCGGCCCTAGATGTTGAAGTTCATTACTTTCAAATGGGGTCATAAAACTTTGGGAAAGCCATATTATACAGGGTTTTAATTTTTTCTTCTTTAAAAAGAACTTTGTTGTTAAAACAAAAGATTATATAAAAATTGTATATAACTTTTAAAAGGTAACAATTTTTCATTGTCTTTAATGGAAGAAACATTTGATTTCTGAGCATGAGTTCTAATCAGAGTTCTGCTAATATCTGGGTAATTTAAACCATAGCATAATTACCTTCATTTATAAATCAGTCACACCTCCACTATTTCCTTTCCAAAAGAAATGTACCCTAGCAAAATTAGGGACCAGCCAGGTGTGTTTCTGATGCCTTCCAGTGCTCTTTTGGGGGGCTCTCCCTTCTTCTACGAAGTCTTTGCCCCTCCACTCGGCATTGAGCACCTGCTTTCTTCAAAGCCTTCTGTAAGGACTGGTGTATGTTCACTCTCTCCTGTTCTCTTCCTTTTTTTTTTTTCTCCTCCCTTCCTCTCCCTTCTTTTCCCTTTTTTCTTTCCCTTCCCTTCCCCCCTCTCTAAACCGGAGTATAGTATTCACCTTAATGTAACTTAAAGTCCATTTGCTACTCCTCTTAAAGTTATTTTCATGCTAGACCTTTATCTTAAGTTGCAGAATTAAAGATTTTGGTCCCCTCATTTACATGGGGACTCTGAAGGGCTGTTTAGAGACACTTTTGGGATGCCTGACTGATACTTGGAAACGGCTAGGTGAGTTCAGGCCCCTCCATGTAGTGTCGATGAACTCTAGTAACTACGGAAGGCCTCTGTACTCCCTGCTTGTGGTTCAGAACTATGGGCAGGATCAGTCTGGTCACATATTACACGCAGAAATATGCACCCCGATGGCTACAGCTGGCCATCCGTAGTTAAGTGCTCATCAGCACTGCATGAATGGGCATAAAGTCACCTGACCACCTGCAGACATCAGTCATTCCCAGCAATGTGACTCTTCATAGGTCTCAGTAACAAAGGTTTTGCTTTAGCAGGTTTCCTGGAATATATTTATCATGAACCCTGAAGGGCAAAGAGATAAATGAGGCAATGTTTTTGCTGTTGTTTTTTTTCTTCCTTTCTTTTTTTCTCCTGGGAAGTTCCTCCTTTCCCCTTAATGCTCTTTTCCAATGAATGTTTTCTTTGCCTGCAGAGAGACACTGAAAAGGAAGGTTAGCGGGAACAGCTGCACCAGCCCTGTTACTACTAGTCCACGTTCAAAGAGGGATGCCCACTTATGTGCAGTCTGCAGCGACTACGCGTCGGGCTATCACTACGGAGTCTGGTCATGTGAAGGATGTAAGGCCTTTTTTAAAAGAAGCATTCAAGGTATTAGAGTATTGTTAGCTGCTTCTTTAGTATTCCACTTTTGCTTTCAGACAGTTTTGCAGAGGACCTGGCAGAAATGTCACTATTGGCCTGTTTGGTACTTAATGAGCCGTTCAGAAGATCATGTGTGTTTAGGGGTGGGGTAGATGGCAGGGTGAATCGTTTCAAGTGTAGAGCGCTTTTTCTTTAATTGTAGATCTCTACCCCAGGACCCCAGACCTCAAATGGTCTCACACTCCCATTCCCCATCATCGTCTTCTTGAGAGCAGATGTGTAGTTACAACCCTTGTGAAGATGAAGCTTGGAAAAAATGTGCGCTCATTAGAAATTGCAAAGATGGTTTCTCCCCTTGACTGATGCTTAATATCTGGCATCGGTAACAATCATTATGGCGGGCTGGCTCCTGAGGAATAGAGAATAAATACATTTTATGGAAATGGTCAGGGATCAGGAATTCAACTCCAGTGGACTTTGAGGATTGATCTACTGGCCTGCCTTGCCCTGAGTTAGTGGAGCCTCCGTTCATAATCCTCTTGTTTTCTGGTCTGGGTTTAGACTACTTCCCTACCCTTCTCCACATTCCTGCTGGGCTTTTTTAAAAAAGTCCATTTCAAATTGTGCACACCTGGTTTCAAGGCCAGTCAGCGCTTTGCCTCACTTGTCCTTGTCATGCTATCCCTCCCTTGCCAGCCTTAATATGTTGAAGTCACTTTCTTGTTTACTCGGACTCTCTTCTGTCTCTCTGCCCCATAACCCCTCCCCCGGCAGCCCTCCTCCCAGGCAGTGTCCAATGTTCCCATCTTAGAGCTCCCTTCTCCCTTCTATCAAAGCCTCAGCGCCTCGTTCTTAACCAATTAAGAAAAGCAACCTTAAAGGAATTCAGACTGTGCAAATGGCAAACAGTAGTTTACTAAGTTAACTCACCCACTGATAACTCTAGATTAAAGAGACACTGGTAGAATCCAGAGGGAGAGGTGGGGGTAGAATGTTAGTAGATGAAGAATCACCTTCCTTCTGAGCCCCTGAAATTCACGCTGTGTAGATGACCGTCCATTTGTCCTGGGTCCTCCACTTACTAGTGCTTTGACCTTACCTTCTGCCTGCTTCTTCCTCTGTGGAATGGAGATACAGTGTTGTTCTATAAGTTTCCGATCCTTTCCCCAAGTCATTCTTTCCTATTGTATCAGCCAAAGAACTATTGGGAATGTCAGATTCTAAATATGCAAAAAAGTAATAGTATTCTTATAATTACTTGATGCATAAATGATTACTTCTTTGGATTATTCATATTTTTGGCACCTTCTGGTATAAATGCATTGTAATCACTGAAAGTGGCCACTCAATTCTTTTGGTACATTGAATAAAATAAGAATCAAATGTATTTGTCTTAAATAGTCAAATTTCTCCACATTGTCTTATTGAATAAACCTATCAATTTTCATTGATTTTTAAAAATATGGGAACTTATTATTATGTGAGTTTGAGATATAATTTACATACAATAAATTCCCCTATTTTAATTGAATAGTTTTATGAATTTTGAAAATGCATGTAGCCAAGTAACCACCACCATAATTAAGACATGGAATGGTACATCACCCCAAAAAGTTTACTCATGCCCAATGCAGCTAATTTCTCTCCAACCTCCCAGGCCCTGGTAACCATTGATCTATTTTCTGTCTCTATAGTTTTGCCTTTTTTAGAATGTCATATAACTGAATTATAAAATAGGTAACCATCTATGTATGACTTCTTTAACTTACCATGTTTTTAGGATTTACCTGTGTTGTTGGATGTATCAGTAAGTAATTCATTCCTTTTGGTTACTAATATTCCAAATATAGATGTACACCAGACTTTTTGTTGTTCATTTGGGTTGTTTTCAGTTTTGTGCTATTTTGGATAAAACTGCTATGAACGTTCATACATATCTCTCTGTGTAGACAAATGTTTTTGTTTCTCTTGAGTAAATAAATATTTAGGAGTAAAATTGCTGGTTGTAGGGTAAGCATATGTTTAGCTTTATAAGAAACTAACAAGCTCTTTTCCAGAGTGGTTGAACCATTTTGCATTCTCAACAGCAGTGTATGAGAGTTTCAGTTGCTCCACATCCTTGTCAAAACTTGATATTGTTAGTCTTTTAAATTTTAGCTGTTCTATTTGGAATGTAGGTGTAGCTAATGGTGGTTTCAGTTTGCATTTCCCTGACTACTGATGATTTTGAGCATCTTTTCAGGTGTTCATTGATATATATCCTAGTATTTTATTCTGACTTGCTGTTGCTCTATCTCCCCTTCTTGTATAAGTACCACATTATTTTATAATTGTAGTTTTATAATGAATTTTAATACATACCAGTACCTCCAATTAATACATATCTCCAATTAAAAAAAATGTCCTGGTTATTTTCTCTTATTTATTTGTCCATAGGAATGTTAGAACAATTTTATTAAGTGGCCTCCCATCCTTAATGTTAAAAAAAGTAGAAGTTTTTGTTAAACCTAAGAATTACTTGGGGATGAATCTTCATAATAGTCTTCACATCAAGAAACATATTATGTCTCTATTTAGATCTTTTATATCTTTCATAAGGTTTTGTCACTTAAAAAATATGTATCTGGCACATTTCTCAGTGATATTTCCATAAATTTCATTCTTTTGGCTATTTTTTATATCCATATTAATTACATATAATAGTAATTACTACTATTATAGTCTATTCACTTTCACTGTGGTATTCATAACAACCTTTTATCATTGTTCTTTGAAAGTTAAAATGGATTTGACTGCTGCTCATGAATCTTTAGCTCTGTTTCTTAATTCTTTAGAGGCTGAACTTTAAATGGGAAGATCTAACAGCCAATAGGTTATATTAAAGATTCTAACCCGGAAGGCATATATTCTTGGGATTTGTTTGTCCTTGAACTCAGGAAGAATGTCCTGAGAGAACAAAACAGAAAGTAGACACCTGCTGTTGCAGTGTAAGGGTGTCAGGGAGGGAGTGGGTAGTAGCCATTACTCTATTTTTAAAATAAGAAACTGGAAGGCTGAGCTGAGATTAAAATCAGATCTTCTGATTCCAAGTGCAGTGCTGTCTCTTCCTTCTATGTAGTTGAATATGAGCGATAATAGGTGTTCAGAAAGACAATAATTTTGCAGAGAGACTGAGGATAACCTTTTCTGTTTTATCTTATAAAAAGCACATTTCTCCATAGTGCTTTATATCTCAACTAAAAGAATTAGCTACGTAAATTGCTTTTAGTTTTGCTTTGAACTTTTCTCTCAGCTCTTTTAGTATGGAATAGCATGCTTCTCAAGCTGTTGCATGGGACAGGAAACCATTTTAATACATGAGGTAGTCAGTGCAGTTTGAAGAGGACTTCTTTTTCTCTTTTGTGAGTAGTGAAGTGAATTACTAGGACCTTCTTGCATAAGACATTTTCTAGGCTATTTATATTGAGTGTGTTCATATTACTTGGCTTTCTGGTGCTTTTTTAAATGTAAAATTATCTTTTAAAATAAACTCTGAGAAAAATATAATAAAAGTTAACCTCTAGCTGTCCTTTAAATGCTTATTGTTGTAAACCTCTTTATAAAACCGATAAGGATGACATTGTTCTTAGAATTTTTAGAGGGTACTAAAGATTGCTACTACTATGGAAAGTACTGTGGGATTACATTTATCTTTTCATTATGAAGCAGTATGTTCTAACGTATAATAGAAAATTTCTCATTATAACTATTTTTTGGCCTTTAAAACATAATTTAGTTTTGACTACTATAACATTTATCTTTTAATTATAAAGCATTATGTTCTATATAAAAAGTATATAAAAAATTTCTCATTATAACTATTTTGTGGCTTTTAAAATATGATTTAGTTTTGATTACTGTGAGGATAAAAGCAATAACAAGACAATTATCTGATCCTTTAAAAAAATTTTTATAACACACCTTATATTACCCCCCATTTTTGAGCCTGGTGGAACCTATAAATAGGATGAAAGTTGCTCCCTTCGTTAGGTTACACTACAGAGCGAATGCTGATGGGATAATCTCTTGTGATTATGGTATGATTATACAAGACTCCATCAGAGCAGGCTGGAAGTCAGAGAAATGCTCTCCTCCTAGCCTAGAAGAGAGCAAACATCATGTTATGAGCTGCCCGGAAGGAGGGACGAACAGTGTCCCACCGTAGCTAGCAAAAAAATTGGGAACCTCGGCCATACAGCTGCAAGAGACTGATTCTGTGAACAACTTGAGTGAGCTTGGAAGAGGACCCTGAGCTTTAGATGAGACCACAATCCAGCTGACACTTTGATTGCAGCCTCGTGAGACCCTGAGCAGAGTGTGCAGCTAAGCCTGGACCCTGACCCGTGAAAACTGAGATAACATTTGTTTTAAGCTTATAAGTGTATGGAGATTTATTATGTAACATGGAAAACTAAAACTAAGCATGTTTTCATTTCTAAAATGGGGATCATAGGTCTTCATAGGGAAGTTACAAGATTAAATGAAATACTGATGAAAAATACCTGGAAATCCGAGGTAGTCAGAAATGTTGGCATGTCAGACTGAGCAGACTGCTTCCTGGACATGGCCAGTGTGGAGGGTTACTGGAGAGAGTGGTTTTTGCATCTCTGGGGAGAGGTGTCTCAGTCCTCCGAGAGCTGTCTAGTCTGCACCTTTGTTGGCGTCCCAGGCTGACTCAGAGCATGGTGGTGAAGCCACAAACAACTGAATTTCAATTTGTGTTTTGTTGAATAAATGTTACTGGCATCTACCTAAAGTGGGAGAGAATTATTATTGTCCAAACGTGGAACCATATCTTTTTGGAAGTGTTCTTTAAAATCTGGTGAGTTGGAAAAAGGAAAGTTAATTTTAGGACTTAAAATAATAGCATTTGAAATATAGATAAATTTCAATTTATCTGTATTTAAGTATTTGTATGTATCTGTTTGTGTGAATTAGCAGCTAGATTGTTTGAGAAGCCAGTGGAAGCATTTTTTTTTTATTCTCAAACTTACAGAATTTGTGCATATACAATATAAAGAAACATTTTTTTCCTGGAATCACTTGAGAATGAGTTGCCAACGTTATACCCCATCACTTCCAAATACTTTAACAGGTATTTCCCGTATAGCCACAACACAACAGTCAAATGGAAAAATTAGCTTTGATACATTACTGCCATCTAATCCTCAGGCTGTTTTGCCAGTTGCCCCTCTACAGCAAAGGAAGCAGTTCAGAATCACACTTTGCATTTATTTATATCTTTAGCATCCCTCTGTTTGTCCACAATAGTCCCTTAGTGTTGGTTTTCACAATCTTACACTTGAACCTTACAGGCCAGTTATTTTGCAGACTGCCCCTCACTTTGGGTTTGTCTGATGTTCCCTCATCAGTAGATTCAGCTTTCACATGATTGGCAGGAATATCACAGAAATGATGGCATGTTGTTCTTACCGGCTTCTTTCATGTGCTACCTGATTTCAGTTTGTCCTGTTACTAGTGGTGAGTACTTTGATAGTTTGACAAAGGTGATGTCTGCCATGCTTCTACACTGTAAGTTATTCTTTTCCCCTTTGTAATTAATGGATATTTTTGTTGAGATCCTTTGGGACAATGTAAATATTCCATTCTTCATTAAACCTTCTGTTTATATCAGTATAATGTATCATTTCCTATTTTCTACAGGTGGTTACTATCTATTACTATCATTATTTGGATATCCAAATTGTCCCATATTTGGTCAGTAGGATCCCCTTAAACTGGCTTCTGTTTTTTTTGTTTGTTTGTTTTGTTTTTGTTGTACCCATAGTGCTTGGGTACTTCTTTACTTCCTGGCACAAGATGTTATGTTTCAGGCTCATTTTGTGCTTTCTATGCCCAGTCCTAGAATAAGCTGTTTCTCCAAAGAGCCCTGTTTCCTCTTAGTGGAGAATGATATTTATAAACCAAGATCTGGGTACTAGTTTGCTCATGGCTCTCAGATGTCTCTGCTCCCAGGCTCTCAGAGGATAGAGTTAAGGAATGTATTTATTCCAGTATTTATTTATATCTGGTTTAAAGAATACAAATTCCTGTGTAACTAGTGCTTAGGCCACGAAATAGGATATCTCCAGAACCCCTGGGTCTTCTTGGGTGGTTCTTCTAGTCATAGCTCCTTTCCTTCCAACAGAGGTAAGACAATCCTAATTTCTGCCTTCCTTGCCATGGTTCTACCACCTAAGCATGCTTCCCAAAACAATATAGTTTAGTTTTCCCTAGTTTTGAACTTTACATAAATGGAATCCTCTCCTTTATTTTAGGTGTGTGTGTATGATTTGTTTCTTTTATGACTTGCCTGTTAAATTTATCATTGAGACTCATCCATTTCCCGTGTTGAAATTCTGGCCCATTGTATCTTTAATGTAAGAAGTTCAGGCCATATTGTTTATTGGAAAGACAAAATTAAGAAATTAAGGCACCAAAATACCCTCTGCACTTTTACCATTCATCCATTTTGTTGTAAGTTCTATTTCCTAAAACTCTCAGATCCTTGTAGCTCTCTTCAGCCTCTCTACCATTACCCAACCCAGGCAGCCTCATCTCTAGTTGGCACAGCTACACCAGGTTCTCACCTGTTCTCCTGGCCTTCATCAGTTTTGCTTCCTCTAATCCATTCTCCATGGAGCATTTGAAATGGAAATTTTCTTATCTCTTTCTTACATAAAAGAATGAAAAGAAGCACTGTTGTCTTTAGTCCGAGATTGCTATATAACTAGTGTCTTGCTATAAACAGCATTATTTTTCTTAGTTCTAGGTCTGTGAGTTGGTTAGGGTGACTGTCCTTCATAAGGTTTGGCTCTGGGCCTTGGGTTGAGTTCCCTTCTGCTCCATGTCTTTACCTTCTGCTTAGGCCAGTGGCTCCCTGAGGCATTTTCTCATGAGGGCTCAAGAGGCCAAGCCAAATGTGTTGGAGTAGCACATCTACAAACATACCAAACATACCATAAAGTTCCACAGCTAAGTCCATCATCAGGTAGTGGGGAAATAGTATATTCTGCCCACTCCACACTTTGCAAGGTCGCGAGGCTAAGGAAGGGAGGGAAGAATTGAGAACAATAATAGAATTTACTACAACCATTGTTACATAGCTGTACTTATTTAGTTTGCTCATTTCTTTATTTTTTTTCTCTTATTGACTTCTTTAGTTCTCTTATTTGACGATGAATCCTCATAAAAAATTCATGTTACACCCCAAAGAGGGATATATGTAAAAAAGTATGAGCAGTTGAATTTGGTGACCTGATACTGAAGTACTAGTCTTAAGGAGTTCTGTGATTTGGAGGAAATCAATTTCTGGTGATCATCCCACTTTCTATGTCCAAAAGAGAATATTTTTAAATGTATCTCTTGAAAATTCTAAGAATATGCAGAGAATAAGTTATTAATTAAAAAGTAGGGTATTGGAATATTCTTAGGTTTCCTTTACTCACTAACAAGGCACTGATGAGGCTGAACTTTGGACAACTTTTTTTTTTTTTTTTAGCTGAGCCATCCTGCCACCTGTTGGCAGCTCAGCGGCAGCTCAGCTTGGGTGGGACTTGAACTGCTGTTGCTCAGACCTCAAACCCTTGAGCGAGCTCTTAACCAACTGAGCCACTCAGCCAGCCCCAATGAGGCTGAACTTTGGCCTTTACCTGTGCCTGTGATTAAGAAGACATCCCTACCTCTCAGCTGGGTAGTATAATCAGTGTTGTTGACCAGGAAGATATTTAACCAAAATAGTGTAACAATAATCTTCCTTTTTTTGCTCTGCTGTAGGACATAACGATTACATTTGTCCAGCCACAAATCAGTGTACAATAGATAAGAACCGACGCAAAAGCTGCCAGGCCTGCCGGCTTCGGAAGTGCTATGAAGTGGGAATGGTGAAGTGTGGTGAGTATTCACTTCCCCTATGATTGTATGTGTGACATGCAGAAAGCTACCGGGACGTGCAGCCTGGATGAGAAAACATTAGGACTTTGGAATTAATTATCTTCAAGTGTTTGTATGCTGTCCCCTTGGAGGGAGCATTAACTTGTTCCCTGGAACTGCAGAGGACAAACTAGGGTGAGTGGGAGCAAGTGACAGGAGGCAGGTTTGGGCCCAATGTAGGGAAAGACTATCTACCTACAATTCAAGTGGTCTGACGACATAATGGGCTGCAGCATGAATTAAGGAACTCTAGCCACAGACATGCCCAAACGGGCTAGATGACCATTTGCCCGAGGCCTTGAAAAGTATAAAGGTGACGGTCTGGTAGATGTTCACAGTTAAAGCTGTGACAATAAAATGGCATATCTTGTGGGTTACTTGGGTGCCTTGGATAGACTCAGCCTGTCCCTCCAAAAGCTTTGTAGAAGTGGAAGGAAAAATACATAGGCGTCATCAACATGGTAGAACTATGGAAGGTACATAGAGCATAGATTTTGTTCTAGGACAATATGTATGTGTGTCTATACCTGTGTAAATGTATATATGTATATATGCACACATACACCTACATACATGAAAAAACAAAGGAGAATGAGCACATTCGTATAACAACTGACAATGATGCCTGTACCCTGCTCTCTCCACTTGGGTTAATTTTTGATTCACTAGCCTGTACACACGTGCTTGTTTCTATATTCTCATACCAGCTCTGCCTGTACTTTTCTTATTCTTCTGCTAGCCAAAGTTTTGTCTGTGGTTAGTTGTAATTTTTCTCTTTGTAACTATTTGAAAAATTTAAAACAAGTCTCTCTCTTTTCTCCCTACAATCTCTTAGTAACTCTGTCTCTTGAACATTTTCTGTCCATTTCTTTTTCTCTGTATGGACAATAGATAAGACCCCTCAGCTGTGCCTGGTGCCTCCTCTGTATGCTGGAGATAGTAATAGCACCTGTCCTCTAGGATGGTAGCAGAATGATACAATCTGTGTACAGTACACAATGTCTGACACATAGATGCTTCCAACAGATGTTAGGTGCCGTTATTCTCATTTACCATTGTTGTAGTCATCATCATCATCATCATCTTTTCCCTGGGGCACTTTCTAATATAGAGCACTCCTATTTAGTAGAGTTTCTCATTAAACTCACTCAGAGACACATTGAATGACTCTGCCTAGATTACAGTGTCACAGTCATGACACTAGTAATGTCCTTGGTAGAAAAATGTGAGTGCTTTGTCAAGGGCTTGATTTTCTTGATCCTAGAATCCCCAGAACTCGGTACAGGGCCTGATACGTAGTGCTTTGTCAGTGATAATTGATCAAATAAATTTGAATATATGGATTCAAAACCTTTCACTGTGTATGTAAACCTGTTTTGTAAACTCCTTATCTGCATATACAAAACAGGAATGTGTGATCAGAAAGGTGCTTTCTTAAACCATACATTTTGTTCCATTTTACCATGGGGGTGTAATCCATCTTAAGTATCTATAGCAATCTAGCTGATGACTAATAAAATGAATTATGTTTTAGGCTTTTAGTTCTTTTAGTAATAAATTTGATTCAACTATCCCTGGATAGATACAGCCCTTCCTTCTGCTGCAATTAGCCAAGGGTAAGGAGAAATTCAGATAAATTTTCTTGGGAGCAAGTAATTTAAATTTTCTCACACTTCCTAATTAACATATATGTATATATTTAATGTGGGCAATTGAATTTAATGAACAATACAATGGTAGGAATATAGAAACTAGGCATGTTGCAGATTTTAACTTTAAAATTTTTTTTTAGGGAAAATTTATATAAAAGTTGTACCATCTAATGACATCCTGACTTATAACTTTCTTAATTTGCATTTTACATTGGTCTTTAACCAATGAATCTTTAGAAATATTTTTGTGTTCAAATTTATAGGGGTTTGGAAGTTATATTTTTATTGTTGGTTTCTGTTTTTATTGTGTTATGGTCAGAGAATATGATCTATATGATATCATTTTTAGTTAAGATTTTATTCATGACCGAGTATGTGATAATTTTTGCAGATGTCTGTGAGATCAACCTTGTTCATTGTGCTGTTCAAATGTCCTGTATTCTGATTTTCTCCTAACTTTTTGCTCAGTTGTGGAGAGAGATATGTTAAAATATCCCATTATAATACTAGTATATTTGTCAGTTTCTCTTTTTCTTTCAGTTACTTTTTGGTGCTATGTTTGTAGGCTGGGTTTTATTGTTTTGCTGTATATGTGTTTTGAATTATTTATCTTCCATTTATAATCTACTGATGATCCTTTTTATTGCTAATGATTTTTTAAGTTTATATTGTCTGATATTGATAGACTAATTCTAATTTACTTGGTTAATTTTTGCCTGTTATATTTTTTCCTGTCCCTTTACTTGGTTGTTTTCTTTTGTATGTTAGATGTAACTCTTATAACCAGTCTACGTCTAGGTTAAAAAATATGTATGATCTCAGAGTTGCTCTTAACTGGTGAATTTAACTATTTGTGTTTATTATTATCACTGATATTTGGGTTCTTTTCTGTCATTTTATTTTGTGCTTTTAAAAAATTCATCATGCATTTTCTACTTTTTTTCCTTTTTGGAGTTGATCACATATTTTTTGTTTTTCCTCTTTTCTTAGAAGTCATATTTTCTGTTCCAGTGCTTTTAGTGGCAACGTTTCTATTTTTAACTTATATTCTTGACTAATTTGAGAATTCAGTCCTCTCTCTCTAATAGAAACTTCCCATCCCAAATAAAGAATTGTAGAAAGTTCTAACCAAAATCATTCCTTGCTCATCTTTTCTATTAATTTATTATTTCAAATATACTTATTTGTATATCTAAAAAGAATATACACACATGTAAACATTTTAAGAATGTATTATAAAAGTATGTTACTGGATAACTGTTTGGAAGTATCAATGTCCATTTTCTAACTTTTCCCCATCTTCTGCCTGAAGAAAATTCCTAATTTCATGATTTGGAAACTGAGGTATGTCAACACTCTTTAAAAGAGAAATGGATTTAGTATTCATAGAAGACCTTGAAATGGCGAACCTAGATCATTTGCGCTATTGTTCTTAAAAAGTCATATTATTGACTTGCTAATACAGTCAGAAATGTAACAATAACCTGTGGAACATGCCCCATAGGCTCCAGAAAATAAGTCAGGCTTTTGTTCTAAGACGCATTCTGAGACCAGACTCAGGTCTCACAATGACATCATTGCTTCATTTTTACCCTGGTGATTGAGGGAATTTGAATGCTAGGTTGGGGTAAGGGATGGGGTAAGACAACTACTGTGCTGTTGTCATCTCTCCACTTTAGGTCCCCGGAGAGAAAGGTGTGGGTACCGCATAGTACGAAGGCAGAGAAATTCTGACGAGCAGCTGCACTGCCTGAGCACAGCCAGGAAAAATGGTGGACCTGTGAGCCGCGTGAAGGAGCTGCTGCTGAGCGCCCTGAGCCCAGAGCAGCTGGTGCTCACGCTGCTGGAGGCTGAGCCGCCCAACGTGCTGGTCAGCCGCCCCAGCACGCCTTTCACCGAGTCCTCCATGATGATGTCCCTGACCAAGCTGGCCGACAAGGAACTGGTACACATGATCAGCTGGGCCAAGAAAATTCCGGGTAGGGCTTTCTGGGTCTTAGGTTCTCCTTTATTTGTACATAGGCCTGCGCCTACCATTTCCAGGACAAGACTACAAAATGGAGGTCCACAGAAGATGTCTCTGTGTTTACCAGTGTGACAGCTTGATTTCTAACCTTTAAGTGAAATATGTGCTTTCTTCCTGTCTCGTGTGTACTGTCAACATGTCCTGGATGGCCAGGTCTTGGATGGCCAGGTCCTGACTGGGAATTCTTGGACTCCTCTGAGTTCTGTACCAGACATGGCAGGGCGGGAAGGGTTGTATGTGTATGGCAAAGCTCTGTCTATTCCCAGCTCTCTTCTTCCCAACCCCCAGATCAATTCCACACAGCCTTGTGCACACCCCATCCTGCATGTCCACGTCTCCTGCAGACACTAGTCTTTGATCATCTCTCATCCCTGGTCTGGGAGGATGAACCAGGGGAAAGACCCAGCCAGGCTCTGAAAGTGGGCTTGGGGCCATTTGGGCAGGAAACAAAGGTTCTGGGACCTGGAATATGACCTAAAAGGAAGGGGTCGGGGGTCCATATTGACCTGTCTCCTGGCTGTGGACTTCTCACCTTGAGAGGAGGGGTGTAGGCAGGTTAGGGGGGTGGGATGCAGTATAGTCAGTATGAAAGCGAAAGGTTTGTCAGATGCTAAATAGGAATTTTTAAACTGTTCTTCTAATACAGAAAGACTCAGTATGTACGTAAATGAAGATATATGGACAAACAGAGTAAATCAGCAGCTGACGTAACATGAATCATCAATAGAGCTGAAATGCCATCCAGTTAAAAATGGGTTTGATGATTCACGAGTTGTCGTTTGGAACCTGCCTTTTCCAAGCTGTAATGTGATCATTTCCCCAGGCCAGTTTGTGATCTATACCTAAAGTACTGTACTGTGCTAAAATTATCACCTAATTATTGTTTGAACTGGTGTTTCAGTGAAAGAATGAATCTAGGCTTCTAACTTAGAAGGGCAGCAAACCATCATCCTCCTGAAAGGGCTTCTCTATGTACACTTTACAGTGGTCCAAGAAATGAGGCCTCTGTCCAAGTGCTAAGCCACAAGGGACAACTCCCATGGCCTGCGGGGAGGAGGCAGCAACTGCATTAGGCCAGCTGTAAGGCTTGGGAGGGAGGGAGAAGTTGGGTGAAGAACAGTTGGGGGCAGAGTTATGGGTCCCAGGCCGATGCTAACAGTATTTCTCAGGGTCATTTGTTGGCTTCTGAGCTGCCTGAGAATTTTGTGGTTTCCGGTTTTGTTTTGATAGCCTAGCACCCTCACCTTTGCCAGAATTATATGTCCTTTCTCTGCTCTTTCCCATAGGAGACAATACTGATGCATTTTCCTCTAACTTTTGCTCTGCAAGTATTCCAAACACAATTTTTCAGGACCCCACATGGAGAATGGTGGTGAAACGAATTATTGCTGAGAACTGTGCAGCTTCTTTGTGCCAAAACGAAACCGAATTCTAAAGCTGCATTCGGTCCTCTTTAAGCCTGGTATTTTGAAAAGTTTCAGTAAACTTAGGTGTAGTCTGGAGGTGTGATTTCCCCCCTGCCCCCTCTCTCAGTGAATATAGTCATTGTCCAAACCAAAAAAATATTAAAATATTACCTAGCCTTGATCTTGTTGAGTATTTACAAGTATAAAAATCCTGGTCTCCCTTCGTAGGCTTATTGTCTATAACTGTGGGTAAGTTTGGAATGTGTACACGTATTAGGAAACTGAATTGAGCCTAGGATGTGGCTTTGAAATGGATTTATCCATCTTTCCATACGTTACTCCATTAAATTATCCTCTGATAATTCAAAGACTAGAACCACACGTGCTCTCTGTGCCATGGTTTCCTCATCTGTAAAGTGAGGGTGATGAGAGATCCTACCTGTAGGAAATTCTCAGAGGTAGGCATTGTTACCCTTATATTTCCTATAAGAAAACAAAAACTTAAAAGGAGATTAAGTAACTAGCTAGGAGGAGGCTGAACTGGGATTCTAAGTAGAGTCCACTGCACTCCAAGGCTGTGTGTTTGGTGACTGTGTTTATATTGTACTGCCTCCTCCTTTGATCATGATTTGTGGAAAAAGCACCAGAGATTTCTGCTTTGCTTGTGAAGCACTCACCTCCCTAGAGATTGCCTGTTTTCTTTCCAGCTCTTTGAGCAGTACATGCTATTAGTCTGTATCAGACTGTCAGGACCTGCTTCAGTTGTTAAATTTGCTCTTCAGTACAGAATAGCCTGGAGACAGTGCTCCTACTCAGAGAAGAGTGATTCTAACCCTGGGTGGGAAGTTTTAAGAAGTCAGAGAAATTCTTTCAGTTGAAGCCTTGACTTTTGTTCAGGGGCTGGCCCTGCCCTTCCTGCACGCCCCCCACTCCCCCCAGCGCCAGCTGGACCAGACACGCAGTCCCTCTGGCTGACAGACCAGCAGTGCAGAGCAATCGTTAGGATATAACTAACAAAGGTTTTGGTTCCAGCTTTCTGTTCTGCACTAGCATCTGTCTGGGGAGCTGTAACAGTAAGCCCAGGTAACAGTTCTTCACACATTCTAAGTGAAGTATATTTGTCTCTAGAAGTGGTCCAAGACTGGGAATTGTGAGTTGCACACCTTAAGTTCAAAATTTTCTTCCTTTGGTCAGCATTTAATCACATCTTTACAATATTGATTGTTTCCTTACATTGTGTTTTGACAGCTTTTGAAGACTTGCTCTTGTATTTCTGCAGACACGGGGAGCTGAGGAGGCGGGCGGGTCTGTCTCACAGCCTCTTGCTTTCCCCAGGCTTTGTGGAACTCAGCCTGTATGACCAAGTGCGACTCTTGGAGAGCTGCTGGATGGAGGTGCTGATGGTGGGGCTGATGTGGCGCTCCATCGACCACCCTGGCAAGCTCATCTTTGCTCCAGACCTCGTTCTAGACAGGTGAGAGAAAGATGCAGGGTGTTTCTTGTTTGAGTGAGGCATTGAGTGAGTGGGAACCAAGTCCTGGGTCCTGCAATTCAAACCTCACACCTAAAAGGGCAGTTAAAAGAGTGATAATGTCAGGAGTTCCTTTCCCGGATCAACAACCTGAGAAGGAGGGCCTGGGTACCAAGCTTCAGTGTCCTGTGACTCATTCTTACCTGCAGTGCAGCAGCCCAGGGTCGGGGGCCACCAATTGTATCAGTCAGCTCAGATTTTTCTGCATTAAAAACTCCATTTCATATTATAATTTTAAGGGGTCGTGCTGTCCTTTCCACCTGTCAGGACAAACTACGTCACCAATTATCTGGACAGGTGATAAAATTCTTACAAATCTGCAGGGTTTATTTTAATGTGCTTTCACTCACTCTAATTGCATGTAGTGTATTAGCATTTTTGGCAATAGCAGTGGAAGGAATGGTCATTAAAACCAGACCAAGTTAGTGGCAATTGGGGAATGATAGTGCTAATGCAATAAATTGGTTGCATTTAGTTTTCTTTTAAAGATGGCACAGAAAAGGAGCCAATTTTTAATTAATTTAGGTAAACTATGAAGGGAAAGCTGGAATATACAACACTCAAGCTTTTTAGTAGGAAAAGTAGAATACTTTGGTGGTGTAAATTTGAGCAGTTTGAAAGTCTCCATGGCAACTGATTGCCATATTCCTTATTTTGAAAAGGTTCTAGTGTGGAATGTTCAGTCACATTGGACACTGTGCACAGAGTATAAGGATACCTAGTGCTGTGAATGGAAAATACCTGTCCCAGCTCTTGGTATTACCTCAGATGACCCCTATGCACACTTCACACAGACGAAAAATAACTCTAAGGTTTTAGCACCTATTTTGCCTGGTATGGATGGCAACATGGACAAAGAACACCGTTCTACATAATGGAGGCATTTTGGTGGAGAACAGAGCCTTTGGGAAGAGCTGGAATACTGGTTGTGGATGGAGCAGGAGCAAGCGCAGGTGGTAAAATAAAAAGGGAGGTTCTGGAAGCCTAGGACAGGTAGGACCCTCCAGTAACAATCAGAGTAGCTAACTTTTTGGCTTGTATGTGCCAGGCACCATCTTTTGCTGTATGTTCAGTCCTTTCATCCCCTCAAGAGCCCTTTCTGGTTAAGCACCGTTATTATTGCTATCCTTTGGACATGGGAGCAGGAGGACCGGTAACTTGCCGACAGTTACAGAGTAGTAACTGGACTTGGAGGTCTGGCTGTGAAGTCCATGCTGTTAACTACAACAGCACATGCTCTCAGCAGGGTACAGAACTGGAAGGGCAAAGAGGAGGAGGCTAAAAGGCAAACTAACTTCCTACTTTATTCTTTTGTCTTAGAACAACTCTGTTCTACTCTCTGCCCACTTCAGGAACCTACATCGGTCATCCCATGGTGGTACCATGTTACAAGGCAGGCTGAATAAGCACTCAGTTAGGGCTTTGCTCTTGTTCATTCATTTACTTATGTGCCACTTGGTGTTGAAAGCCACACTGTGTGCTCTCTCTCTCTCTCTCTCTCTCTCTCTCTCTCTCTCTCGCTCTCGCTCTCGCTCTCGCTCTCTCTTTCTCTCTCTCTCTCATCGACACAAGCACACACACACACACACACAGATATGCACGTATAACTCTAGAAGTTAGTGCTAAGAAGTGCCATCTCTTGATGAACCAATAAATTTGCAGACATAAGGGTTAAGTTATTTTACTTTTTGTCTTGATTTCTAAATTGATACTACATTTAGTATTCATTTTCAGTGACTGTTTTCATTCCTGGATTTTAGTACAATGAACTCTCCTCTTTTTGTGGATTCTTTAACTCCTCCTGTAAGTATGTGTGTAAGTTACTATAAATTGACACAAATGCCAGATAAATTTTAGCCCTACTGTTTGGTTAAGTAACGGAATAAAAAAGTCATGTTTCTTACAAACTATGTGAAATAGACTCACATTACTCTTTAAAAATATTTGAAAGTATTATGTTTTGCAACATATAAATCTAGCATATTGATTGACTATGGAAGAGGAGTTCTTGGGAATTGTAAATGCCCACATTAAATGGACATTTATTTTGGAGTGCCTACTGGTGGTTATTTTTTGTTAACAATTCCTGTTACTGTTTTTAACACATTAACTCTATAGAGTAGAATTTCAAATCTAAGATGTTTAGTGCATCGATTATATACAGATAAATATATTTTTATGTAATGTGTATATTTTTGGAGGAGTTGTTTATTAAAAAATGTTCAAAACGTTACTTATTCAGAGGGTCAGGGATCATGCATCATAAAGAAATTCTATTATGAATCTTTTTTTTTTGCAACTTGAATAATTCTCACACTACTTGAAAATAACTGTCTTTTGGTCAATTGTCCTATCAGAGTTCCTTCAGTGACATGACCATATAAGCAGTGAATATAACTAAATTAGCCCATCTGTGGAGACTGAGACTGTAGTTTCTGTTTCCCTTTAATCTTGTTGAGGCTTCTGCAGTGAGAGAACTTGAACTGACTGAGAATGAGAGGAAAATCCGATTTTCTCATCTTATTTCTAACAAGGTAGTTCTTTTAGTAGCCACTAGAATCACAAATTGAGGTGAAGACCTACCACAGAATCTGAGCTTCTCCTTGCTCAAAAAAAATCACATATGCGAAGACATTTGTTGTCCTTAGCATCAGTAGGAAACTGTCTAATGTTAAATGTTATTAAAAAGTCAGAGGAGTTTAAATCTGGTCTTGGACCCCACTGTGGATGTTTATGGAGCGCCATGGAATCATATACATAATTGTGAATGTCCCGAGTTGGCATTCTTGCTAGTTATTTGTATATTGAATGTTCTTCAAGATACCTACCGAGCTTTCACTTCTAAATTTTCAATTCACATTTGTACTCAGATAATTTTCACCTGAGCTCAATATTGAAGTCCTTTCCATGTGCTAATAACCTTTGAGCCCCCCAGCCCCATTGCCACCCACACAGAGGTGACCTGTGTGGTCTGTAGCCACTTGTGTGCTTCCAGGATTGCCAAAAAAAAATGGATACAGTTGGACACTTTGGTCAACGTTGCTCAAGCAGTAGTTCGCTGCAATCAGAAGTGCCTGGGCGCTGATAGTAGCCACTTTGAGCATCTCTTATAATTGCAGAAGTCAAACGTGACTTGTATTCATCTTTTGTTATCGGTATATATTGAGTATTACAATTTTAATACAGTTTTCCTTTCTTAATATGTATACATTTTTTTTTGGCACTCTCTGTATATGTAGGTACAAAAGAGTGTACCTCAAAGTGAGGCTCACTCATTTAACATTTTGTCCCTGGTATCAAACAAAATGTTTTTCTTTTATAAAAGAGGTGGTCATCAAATAATAAGATAGTCCATGTGGAACTACTAATTTTTCTTTAAAACTAGTTTATGGACAAATGGTGTGCAAAAGTAAATTTCCATGAGTAGGCTGGTTTGATTGATATATTGTTTCAATATTTTAACATTCAATTCCTATAGCCTCTATCTTGAATTCAAATCTTTTAATCCTGTCCTAATTTCTTAAGCATAATTCAGTGTTAACCCATAGTTACAAAATAAATGGAATAGAGCTCATTAATTTGTTATTTTAAAGTCCTTCTTTACTCTGTTCTATATCACTTGTTTTAAAGTAGAAGTTTATTAGGGTGTCATTTATGAGGTATTGTACCTTATTGCCCCTATATTTCTCAATTATTTTCTTAAAATATATTTGGTTTCTGCAGCCTGTGAAGTAAATAAAAATATTCTAACCTTGCCACCCCTTGAATGAAATGGTTGGCTCTTAAAACTGCTAGAGAAAGCAATCAGACTTAGTTCTTTAGAGCTGGTTTAGAAATTCACTTTTTCCATGAGTTACACATGTTCTGATTACTGTAAGTTACAGCATCTGTGGAGCTTAAGATGCTCTAGAATGTAAGCTGTCCTTCCATTTTTGAAATATGAATTTGCATTAAAAATGGCATGTATTTTAATGACGAAATGGTACTAATTTCAATGTTTAGGGACATGTTCTTAGGCACAGGTGGCAACTTCTGCAAAATAGGATTAATTTCAAATGGGTCCACCTATACTACTTGGTGTGTATATGTGTGTGTATGTGTGTGTGTGTGTGCGCGTGTGTGTATTGTGTGTGCACACACATGACCCAACCTCTGACTGAGTCTCACAGAAGAGTAAATAACCAACTATTGAACCATCCATCAATGCAGACTTGATGGATTTTTTGTTTTTGTCCCCAGAGATATTTTATAACCATCTTTTCTCCGGATCAACTGTCCACAGGCCCAACAATTACAATTTCCAATAATTACTTGTTCCAAGACAGAGTGATTTGATGATGTCGCATGAGGGATGATGTCGCATGAGGGATGTCGCAGTGAACAAGTATTTTTTGTGCTTCTGCTATATGCAGGGCATGCGTCATCCTGACTGGACGCTTGCAGCAGGTTGCCTGGGAAAGCCCAGAGCAGGGGATGAGGGAGGATGGGGCATGGGGAGAGGGTTGGGGGTTGCCTACAGATTCTGGCACCCTTTGTGCAGGGCTCTGATCCCCCCTAGGAGAGACTTCTAGGGGGGCACTAAGGTTTTATTACTTAATGTGTGCACTCTCAGAAGGCCCCAAGTGGTTGCAGAAGTTACCATACTTGTTTGCCAAGTGAGCAGTTTGCATGCTTGTAGCTTTGTGCGGGCGAGTCTGCGGGGGTGCGAATGCTGTGGGATGCAGGATCCTGGTGAGCTGCTGACCTGGCATAGCATCAGGGGGCTTAGGTTCACCGGCTCTGGCACCCACTGGTGTCAGTTACTTGAGTTTTACAGAGGCCCTTCCCCAGCCACCACCACCACTGGAAATGTCCTGGCTTGGGGTTAGAGGGAGGAGGAGGGGAACCGCCAGTTCTTTGAAGACCTCAGGTCCTGACCTTCAGGGGCTGCTATGGAGACTAAACATGAAATTCACAGAAACCCACTGCCGCCTCCGTTCCCCTTTACTGAGCACTTCAGGCTTTCAGAATCAAATGATAGTTTTGTGGCAAAATTATCTGACCAACAACTCTTGTCAAGGACTTCCAATAGTTATCACTCATGATTAATAGAAGTTTTTTGGGAGCAGTGAGGCAGAATAATGTGTGTCTGGTTGGAGTGAATTGAAACTGATATTTTCTAGATACAGTAAAGTAATTTGCTGCGAAAGTATACTTAAAAATTCATTTCTATTAAAGGGTGCTGGAGAGAATTTCTATTATATGAAAGTTTGTCTGAAATTTTTGCTTAAAGATAATCTTTGGCAAGTCACAAATTTCTGTCGCCATTTCTACCTTCCTTTTCTGATTCTAATACATCTTCTCTAATTGTGATTTCTTTGTATGTCATATTAGCTTTTTTTTCAAATTACATTTACCTGTCTTAGTTTCTAAATGACCAGGAAGTGAGAGTTAAGCCCTAGATATGAAGGATTATTTGTTTTGGGATATTTGCTTCTTGTAACAGTCAGTCTCCCGCATGAACAATTCAGAGTCTTCTGATAGAAATATGGAATGTCTCATTTTAGTAATATGTTCATATCTGGGGCTGGTTGGCCAAAATGGTTTAGATTATCAATAAAAAATGTTACTCCTCTAAGATAACATTTAATAAACAGGTAGAAGGAAAACGTGGTTCCAATGCACACTTTTGCCTAAATAATATTTATTGAAATGTTTACTTTAGGGATTTAAAGGAAATGCTCTGTCGTCTTTATAATGAAGATAATTCTTCACACCAAGAATGGTGTGGTCTCATCACCACCTTTGTATAGTTAAAGCATGAACAAAATGAAGTTTAAGATGAAAAAGAAGAATACCCCTATTGCCTTTGATAGTTGTCTAAAGCTCTATGCTGCTTCAATTTCCAAATGAACTTTTGCAGGGATGAAGGGAAATGCGTGGAAGGAATTCTGGAAATCTTTGACATGCTCTTGGCAACGACTTCAAGGTTTCGTGAGTTGAAACTCCAACACAAAGAGTATCTCTGTGTCAAGGCCATGATCCTCCTGAACTCCAGTAAGTAACCACACAGCTGGGCCATGTTTTATGGGGGAGAGATATTTTTAGAACTGGCGTGGCCTTAAGAATAGTATCGAACTTATTTCATTTAAAAAGGGAAAAATGGCTTTCTTTTCAACTTCTGTATTTCATTTTATAGAGATTTAAACTGTAGTTAACTTTTGGTAACTTGAATATAAATTGTTCATTGGGCAAAGTACTGGGGTAGTAATTTAAAAAGTGGCTCAAGCCACTTTGCTGGAAAAGAGAAAAATGAACTTTAAAATGTTTACCTTTCAGCCTTTTTCCAATGTATATACAGACATTTTACATGATTGACATCCATTTGTATTCATTGTTTTGGGTTCTGCTTTTACAGATTCATTTGTTCATTCATTTGATTCATTCGGTAAAGACACTGAGAATATAGTTCTGCTTTCAAATAGCTTATAGGGGAGGGAGGGAGAGAGAAAAGAAATCATTAAAAAGAACAATCCCAGTGCTGTAATAAGGTGTGTACAGAGTACTGGGGGGAAAACAGAAGGAGAGACGCGGGAGTGGCTGTAGAAGGGGATGATGTTTGAAGGAGTCTTTAGAGATGGGCGGATGTTAGCTGGGCAGATGGAGGGAAGAGGCGCAGTGGAATGAAAGCACATGGATGAGCACGTGGTGCAGTGGAAGAGCAGAGGGAGGGATCAGGGATGTAAAGTACAGCACTGAAGACTGCAGGGCACACCTCAGGTTGAGAACCACTGCTTGGGGCATCGGGCAGCCCTAGGGGATGTTCAGGCAGGGGAGCAGCGTGGGCAGATAGGCACTCTGAGAGGTCCCTCTGGCTTCCATTTGGAGGACTGACTGGAGAGGGGAGAGACCAAGGCAGAGGCCCAATCAGTCATGAGGGACCATGGGAGCCTGAACTAGCTTGGTATGGAGGGACCAGGGAGGAAGCAACCTGATGAGGGAAATGAGGAAGGTGTATCAGATAAGTTTATGTTGTAGCTTTGCTGTTTTTCTTTATAAATAATACCTGGTTATTATAAACAGTCTAACAAAAGGAAAACAAACAAGAAAGAAAGTAAAAATCACTAGGAATTCCCCCACCCACCTCCAAGATAACCACCGTAACTTTGGTGATAATTCTGTAACAGTTCTCTTGATAGATAGATAGATTTATATATTTTAAATATATATGAGATTTATATATGTTTAATATATATAAATATATATGAGTAAATATATATAAGTATAGAGAAATGTACACATATGCTTATGGACATAATTTTACATAAGCAGCATAGCATTTTATGTTAAACATTATAGATACTTTGAAAGAGACTTGCTTTGATCATATTTTTTACTTGCAATTTCTACCCAACACCAAGTAGTTAATCTTAATTAACAACCCAAGGGTGGACTTCATACCTTCTTCCACTATTTAATAATCATTTAAAATAATACCTCACCTCTAATATGTACACAGATAGGCTTTTCACTTTTTAAAAAATTGGGACATTATGTACAAATATTTTTCTGCATCTTGCTTTTATAACTTTTCAAAATGCTGTGAAATCCCTTTAGGTCAACTAGGAGAGAGCTAACTTCTTTCAAGTGAAGGAAAGCATTGTCTAAATTGTTCAACCACTTCTTTATCGATGGGTCTTTACTTAATATAGAGTTCCATTTTTTCTACCATTATCAACATTGCGGCAATAAATAGAGCTGTGTTATTTTGTGCCCATGTCTAAGTGTGTATGTAGTTTTCATACTGTTCAGTTTACTGTCTACCTGGTGTTTGATCTGGCTGCCAGACCAGGTATTCATTGCTTTGCTTAGCTGTTGACTCTTGTTGGGCCTTTAGGTTATTGTTTTTCCTCTCTCAAATAATATGTATATCCAATTTTACTTCTCTACTAAAGACATATGGACCTTTTCATTTGGGCAACATATGGGGCTTTGTTACCTGGATTTTGTCCAATCTTAGAGCTTGATGTTTGAAACAACAAGAATCTGTGAGATCGTATTATGCCACGTTAGTATTTTCAGTCAGCCAACGCAGCAGTTCCTGAAGCCAAAACTCAGTGCAGAATCTGTGACCATGTGGGTCCCAGGCTGCGTCCTGACCTGGGGCCAGCTGAGCTCTCCCTCTCCAGCCTACACTCGTTTCCCCTCTAACACTCACACACACTCTTGGACTTTGGCGCTAGTTTTGATCTTGGACGTTGGCACTAGTTTTGTTGAAGGGGAAGGGAAACCTATAGAGCAGTGCTTCTCAAACTGTCTCTGGTGAAGGACCAGGTTTCTTTTTTAATTTTTAAATTGTTATAGACAGTTGCCTTTGTATATAATGTCATAAAAATACTAGAAAAGTGAACGTACAAAATGCAAGCCCTAGTTTTTTGTTATTACATTCAACTGATTTAAAATCACTCTGTCAATTGCTATATAAGTTTCCAAATGCTTGCACTCAATTTCTACTTATCTCTTTGTGGACTGGTAATAGACCATACTTTGAGAATCCCTGGTATAGAGCCTGAGGTGCTATCCTGGAGATGGCTGGGTGGGGTGGGGTAGGGTTAGGTCTTGAAGAAGAGAGTAGAGGGGGAACAGAGAAGGAATCCGAAGGTCATGTGAGGTTCAGAGACCCTGAAGACAACCATTGGGCGCTTCCTAGTTGGGTTTCAATCTGGCCCTACCTGCCTGAGAGGATGTTTCCCATGAACCCAACACATTCCCTACCCCAGTTCTGGAAAGCAAACAGTTTTTAGTAGTAATGGTAAATCGTTGGACAAATGAAAATTGTAGAGAAAGTCAAGACTCCTAAATGCTTGGGGGCTTCTGGCACCTTCTTGAAGCATTTATTGTTATCATTCGCCTTTAAAAAAAACAGTATGAGGGCCCAGCTTATATCAGTGATTAAGTTGATGTGCATGTAGGGAATGTCCAGCTAGGACAATTTTGAAATTGATCGTGGGAAAAAAAATCAACTTTTTCTGATCTTCTCTTTCAACCTTCCTACAGATCTTACCTGCCAGGTGTGCTGCCGTTTCTGTCTTTGTTAAAGGGGAGATTTGGTTGAGGGGTATAGTCCCACCTTGGTACAGGAGGATCATCAAATGCCAGATCATGGGGCTTCTCTTACTTGCGGAAATTATTTAGAACTTTTTTCTGTTTAGCAAAGTGCTCCTTGGAAAGTAGTTTGCTTCTCGTTACAACACTTTGCAGTACAAAGCCTTCCGCTTGGCAAGGCTTCTTACAGTCATTTCAGCCTGTGAGACATCATACTGTGTTGTTGTGAAACTAAAAGCATCATCTGTGCAAATGGGAAAGAGGAAGGCCATGGCGTTCCTCCTTCAGCATCTGACAGAACTGCCATATTTAAGAGAATTAGAGAGAGTGAGGCAGCGTGTGATGCAATTACCACTTGAGGCAGCAAACGACTATAATTTGTTTATGGCAAATCCACATTTAAGAAACCTTCTTTTAAGACAGTTCCTTCCTTGCTTGGTAGTCATAATAGTTGTCAAAATGAATTTATTCGGGTCAGCATTGCTGTTACAAAATGGGACTCTGTTTCTATTGGAAAGCTTCTACTGCCAGGACAAGTGGGTCTCTTCTATCTAGATTTTAGGCATTTGAAGGTATAGACTTTTTTCTTCTGGATAATTTGTAAAATGAAAAGCAAAAGCAAGGACAGAATCCACCTTCACTCCTTAAACTGAAAAATCCCTGACAGAATATGTTAAATAAACATTGGACGTTGGACAACAGGCCACACAGGACTGTGATCCCCAAGAGAAGGGACACACAAGGGGGAGCCCTTCGGTTGCCCAGTTTCTGGCCTGGAGCCAGTTTTCAGGTTGCAGTGTAGGGAGAGGTAACTCAAGTAGACATGAGTGTTTTTCTGACCCGAGGAGATAAAGCTGTGAATTTGGGGAGACCAAAACAGCTAGGCTTTTCCGGGGAGAGTACTAGAGAGGAAAGAGCTGGACACAGAGGCAATGGAGATTTTCAGGGGTCCCTCACAAGCCTTCAGCTCATATACTAAGCACGGGGAGGAAAGAGCGGCCAGAAAGGAGCAGGCAGACCAATCCCTAGAGTTCACACAAGGCCAGGAATAGTTCATGTTCTTACTGACCAGAGGGGAAACTTTGTAACACCTGGACATTGGGTGTAGTACTCAGAAAGGTATTGCCTCACAGGGGGGGAATTAGCCCTGGGGTAAAGGCTGCTCTGGTGCATAGCAAAGAAAACTGAAAGAAAGCCTGAAGGATCAAACTATTGGCAAGGAACTCCACTGCATCCCAGAAGAAAGCTTGAGAACATTTAAAGGAATACAACAATATCAGCGCCCAGCCAAGTAAAATCCACCATGTCTGATAACTAATAAAAAGTTAGCAAACATGGGGTGACTGGTTACCTCAGTTGGTTAGAGAGTGCTGCTGATAACACCAAAGGTTGCCAGTGTGATCCCCGCATGGGCCACTCACTGTGAGCTGCGCTCTCCCTAAGAGAGTCAACTATGCCATTGTAGCATGAAAACAATGTGTAACCAATGACCATGGCTGTTCCCTAATTAAAAAAAAAAGTTAGTAAGCATGCAAAGAAGCAGAATGTATGACCTCTAATGAGAAGAAAAACCAGTCAACTTGGAAAAACCCCCAAATGACACAGATGACAGAATTAGTAGACAAGGACATTAAAAAAACAGTTACTGTAATTCTATTCCATATATCTAAGAGGTGGAGGGAAGACAGCATGAGCGGGTTAAGGAGTGACATGGGAAATGACACACATGCAAACTGAACTTCCAAATGTGAAAACTGTGTCTCCACGGGATTTCCACCTGATTAGGCACAGCAGAAGAAAAGATTAGTGGATATGAAGCCACAACAATAGAAACGATCAAAAAAGAATGGAAAGAAAAAAGTGTTTTTAAAAATGAACGGAGCAGGGGGAACTATGGGACAACTATAATTACTAATATGCATAAATTGGAGTCCCTGAAACGGGGAGTGTAGAAAAATACTTGAAGAAACAGTGGTTAAAACTATTCAAATTTAATGAAAACTATAAACACACAAATCCCAGAAGCCTGATGAATCCCAAGCACAAGAATCATGAAAAAAACCACAACAAGGCATGTCATAATCAAGTGGCTTAAAACCACGATGAAGAGGAAAATCTTAAAAGCAGCCAGAGAATAAAAATATTACAGACAGAGGAACACAGACAAGGATGACAGCAAATGTCTGTTCTGACCCAAGTATGTCCACTCTCACTAATTCTATTCAACATTCTAGGGGAAGTTCTAGCAATAAGGAAAAGAAAAGAGAGAAAAGGCATCCACATTGGAAAGGTAGAAGTAAAACTCTATTGGGAAACATGATAATCCATGTAGAAAATCCCAAGGCGTCTACAAAAAAAGTGAGTTTAGAAAGGTTGTGGGCTGTAAGGGCAATACATAAAAATCAATTGTATTTCTATCTGGTAGCAATGAGCATTTGGTAATTAAAATAATTGAATTACACAACTGAAGTTAAAAAAATCAATGTCATTACAATAGCATCAAAAATTATGAAATCTTAGGAATAAATTTGACAAAAGATACGAGACCACACACTGAAAACTGTAAAACATTGCTGAGAGAAATTAAAAAAATTCTAAAGATATAGATATGTGAATGAGTTAGAAGATTCGATATTGTTAAGAAGGCAGTCCTACCCCCAAGTGATCCATAGATTCAACTTGATCCCAATAAAAATCTCAGCATGTTCAGTGCATCACCTCTTCAAGTCAGATTCCATGTGATGTGTGATGGGAACTGAGGATGAAAAATCAGGGAGAGCCCGGTACCCTTGATAAGTGCACCAGGTAGTTTGGACTCTACCCCAAGAGCTGGGAAGTCATGAGAGAGCACCACATGAGGAGATGTGAATTTTTTGCCAACCAAAGGGGCGTGCTGGGTGGAGGGTGAGGGCTTGTTTCCTCTGCAGTGGAAGTGATCTGTTGTGGGGGACAGTGGGAGGTTTGAGGACATGGAGAGACTCAGTGTCACTGTGGAGAACGAGATGAACAGCTGGGTTAGAGAAGCAGTTCTGGGCTGTTGAAAAGGTGAATATTTTACATTTGTACCCTCAGACATCATGGAGGAATATGCTCCCAGGGACGCGATGAAACTCTATACGTGGATAATGGAGTTCAGCGTGTCCCTTGCCTTAATTGAACTGAGTTGCTTTAATTAAACTTAAAATGCCTATAAAAATAGAGAACAAAAATTGCCACCGCTATTCTGTGGATGATGGCGTACCAGTCGTCTTTCATTCTCACTGCAGTCAAAAGTTGGCAGCTCCCCTGTTGATTTCACATATTTTCTATTTATTCTGACTTTGAAATCAGAAGCCTGGAAGAGAAGCTAGTTATGTCCTTGCTTTCAGGAATTAAGGAGTTGGGGTGGGGGGAGGGGGAAGATTTGCATGAGCTGTTATTTTGCAACCATTGGGAGGCCACAGTGTCTCAGATCCTAGAGTCAGAGGGGAACTAAACATGCGACAGGGCAGGATGGGGGAAGCATCCTACTTGGGGTGGCTGTGGGGACCTCGGGAGACATGTGCCTGCAAGCTTTGCTCAACAAGGAGCTGAGGCTGGAGGAAAGTGTCCTGGGGTCAGAGTGGTAGACATAAAGTAGGCCTGCCTGACTTCAAATTGGTGGCCCCCCTGTCCTAACAAGGTGGCACCAGAGGTGGGATGCTGATGGCTTGGGCAGAGGTGGCAGTGGGCCCACTGTGACTGTCTATCTGTGGCACACACAAGGGGGTGAGCAGTGGTCATAAGTTTATTGAACTCCCCTTAATAGGGGCCCTCCTAGGCTTAGAGAAGTCCTAATCTCACATTCTGGCTATCTTTATGGGTATTTGTTGCTGCGACTGAGATACAGTATGCAACGATTGGAGGCAACTAGATACATTTACAAGGCCAGACCATAATTCTGGTGGGACTTTATAGTCTGCCCACATTCAGCCAGGCTGCCCTTCTGGCTCAGCTTTGGGGTAGGCTCGGCGGGTGGAGGGAAAGGACACCATGGGAAGGTAAAGTGGTGCTTTTAAGATTTCACCACACATGCAGATGTCTGAACCCTGATCAATTTGGCCTCCTTTCTGGAGAACGGTTGGCATGCTTAATGTCTGAGCACACAACTTTCGTTTCCTTTTCTTAGAGCAATGAATCATGGCTTTTATTCTTTGTCCAGGTATGTACCCTTTAGTTTCAGCAGCCCAGGAGGCTGAGAGCAGCCGGAAGCTGACTCACTTACTGAACGCCGTGACCGATGCTCTGGTCTGGGTAATTGCCAAGAGCGGCATCCCCTCCCAGCAGCAGTCCGTCCGCCTGGCTAACCTGCTCATGCTCCTTTCTCACGTCAGGCACGCCAGGTACAGTCACTGCGGAACTACTTCACCGGGTGTATGGTGCAGGGGGTGGGGGGTATGCTCAGAGGGTGAAGAGCTTTGGGAAGAGTGTTTTCAAGTTTGAGATGGATAAGGTAGCATTTGTCACCTTTAAAGGAAGATAAACCCCTGAAAGGGAATTGGGGAAGTCTTCATCAGTGCACACACCCATAACCAAAGGTTGGCACATAGTGGGCATTGAATGACTATCACGTGGCACTTTATAGGATCTTGATGGCATTCTGTGGTGGCTCATCTATGTTTTAGTTGCTGGGGGTTTCGCTTGTTTATGGAGTTCTAAAAGGGGCAGGTCTTCCCTAAAGTGAACCCCTCCCTGCACCACCTAGGACTGGGGCCCTGAGATCATGTTCTTGAAGAGGCTAAACCCAGCTCTCCTAGATCAACTCTTGAGGCTGGTGATGTGGGGAAATGCACAAAGCCTTCCTTGAGACTTGTTCTTTCCTTGTTGTAGCATCAGGATATTACGAATGGACCTAGAAGAACTAGTGAGCCGACAGGCTTGGGGAAGCAGGGCCATGGTACATGGTGTGTGCCGATGTCCAGTGATGGCTTTGTGTCGGTACAGGGATGCTCACTGCTTAGCATCACCCAGGATGAGGGAAGCCCCACTCTGGGGCTGGAAGAGGGGAGACGAGGAGGGAATTCTCGGGGCTGTGGGAAGACAGCATACACCTGAAGAATTTTATCGAGGATTAGGAAATGAAAACGACCACTGCCTCTCCGTCTAGTGATTATTCAGCACACAACCTTTTGCAGAACAAATACAGTCCATCATTATTCATGGATTCTGTATTTGCAAATTTGCCTGCTTGCTAAAATTTGTCACCTCCAAATCAATTATGGTACTTTCATTGTCATTTGGGGACATTCACAGAATGGCAAAAACATTTGAGTTGCCTGTGCTTGTACTCCCAGCTGAGGTCAAACGGGGTGATGGTCTGCCTTCTTGTTTTCAGCTGTCATACTGTATACAAGTGTCCCTCACATTGCCTGGTTAATGCCATGGTTTTGCATTCTTCTGTTTTTTGTTGGAGAATTTATTATCTAAAAATGGCCCCCAAACATGATGCTTCAGTGCCGTCTAGTGTTCCTAAGAGCAAGAAGGCTGTGACGTGCCTTACGGAGAAAATGTTACCTAGGCTTCTTTCAAGCACGAGCTATAGTGTATAGACCATGAGTTAAATGTTAATGAATCAACAACATACGTTAAAGCCTTTAAACAAAAACAGATAAAAACAAGGTTATGTATTAATGAGCTGATGAAGAGGTTGTGACTAAAGGCTGCCAGGAACTAGAGGCTGTGTTTCCCTCAGGGGCAGTGGGTTCAGCAGTCACCAATTAATTGTTTGCGGCGACTGTATAGAATGTAACTGTCGTGAACAATAAGAATCGACTGTACTCTGTGCCAGGCGGTGCCAGGCCATGGCGGGTGGGTGGTGGGACACAGGTCCACAGGACACTGTCCTTGCCCTGAAGTGTAGATTATTAAAGGAGCCAGATGCCAGCGCCATAGAACAAAGGGCCGGGGGAGCTGGAGGAGGAGCTGGTGCACTTGCTGTGTTGGGGAAGATTTCAGAGTTCCTATGGCTGCCTCTCAGGAAGGAATCTCAGTACCTTTTTGTCCTCATAGTAACAAGGGCATGGAGCACCTGCTGAACATGAAGTGTAAAAACATGGTCCCCGTCTACGACCTGCTGTTGGAGATGCTGAATGCCCACACGCTTCACGGGCACAAGGCCTTGGCCACAGGGTTCGAGTGCAGCCCAGCGGAGAAGAGTAAGAGCTACGAGGGCTCCCAGAACCCCCCGTTTCAGTGACACTCAGCCCTGAGGTGAAGGGGCTGCAGAGGTCAACGGCTGAAGTGTGAACTCCAGTGAGAACCGTGAGCCCCATCGGGAGTCGGTGGGCTTTGTCTTTCTGTGTGGCCCCTCCTTTAGTTATAGCAGGCTCAGTCATGCACCATACCCCTTACTACACCTCCCCACTTCCCAGGAGTCAGGGTGAGAAAGCCAGTTTTCCTTGTTACTAGGAGGCGCATTGGAACGCAGAGTTTTTGTTTTGCTGGGCCTCACAGGATATCAGTGTGGTCCCTGTCTTACTTCCCATCTCCGCTCCACCCCTTGGGGAAACAGCTCAAAGGTTTAGGAATGAATGGTGGAGATCTGACCTGGAAGGGTTTATAAAACAGAAAGGGGAGAATGTGGCACACTCACAGGAAGTGGACTAATCTTTATTGTGAGACCTAAAGACCTTTGTAAGCTTTCTCTGGATCATGATTGTAGGATTGAAAACCACGATGACAATCAACTGAGTTTCGCCTATCTCACAGGCCTGTGAGGACCGATTTCAGGGCTATTATTCTGTTGAAGGACAGTGGGATTATGACCTTTGGAGACAGCGGTCAAGCTGGGATGTGAACCGCATTCTTCCCCTCAAACCTTGCTGCCACCTTCATGCAGGTTCATCCCTCCTGATGTGCATTCAGAGAGTGTGCTGCTTATTTGGGGTGTATGTGCGTGCGCGCGCGTGCGTGCATGTGTGTGTGTGTGTGTATGACCAGTTTCATGGAGGATTGTGATTTAAATCTCCCCGCTCCCGGAATTGCCCTTCCTTAAAACTCTTATCCCAAGGGGCCCGGTGTTGTGCTAGAGGAAGGTCCTGTGTTTGCAGGAATGGGTTCTCCCCTGTGGGTGTGGGTGATAGTCACACTTTCCTGGGGCAGCCACCACTGCCCCGTCAGCCATCCAGAGGAGACAGGGACAAGTCAGGCTGTGTGTATGAGGCACACTATTCCACAGAAGGGTGAACAGCTGCACACATGGCAGTGTGTCAAGTTCAGGGCCAAACTGTGTGGACTTGAGGAGCATACCACTTGGAACAAGACTTGGTTTGTGAACTCCACTTAAAATAGAGAAATATCCAGTAATTATTTTTAGTCATTAAGAATTTACACCCTAGGGATCTTTTAAGATATTTTCTTATCAGAACATTTTTATGGTGGACTGGATGAAATAGAAACTTAGTAAAATATTAGTTCTTATTCCAAGTGGAACATAAATGGGACATAATAAAGCACCTTTGAAATTATAATTTTAACTTTTTAAAAATGGAAATTTTCATACAAATTTTCAGGAACACAGTGAATGTGTAGAATGACCTACATCTGTATTTTGAAAGTGAGCAATTAAATAATCATCTGTGATTTTTGTGAAAGTGTTTTAAAAAAATTACCTTGTGCTATGAGATTAAACATTTTCTTTTTGAAAATAGATTTACTTTGGCTAGCACATTCTGTATTTACTAAGTCATTAGGAAGATTAAATTTAATGTTATAAAGGTTGATTTCTGCTAGCTGAGAGCTTGAATAAGTCTTAATTTTGGTATCAGTATAATTTTACTAAAGCTCGAGCAAAACTGTTTCAGAAACATTGGGACATCATATCCCTCGAGAACACATCATTGTATTCTGAGATGGTTTGAAACTATTCTTAGTGATTCAATATTACAGCCTTAGTGAGATTCAGGACAGAAAATAAGCTTGATTTTATAGGGACCAGGGAACCAGTGTTATCTGGAAGGTCAGTCTTTCTTTCTTTCTGGCTAGTTTAGAATCCCCCATGATAAACAGAGGGTTGCAAGGCTACAACGTGGGTAGTGGGAGGTAAAGAAAGTAGCCTTGAACAATTAATTGCTAATGGAATTCTCTTAATTGTATTTATAAAAGAGGTTAAAAAAATAGGTTAAAAAACCAAAACAGAATGAGGTCCAAGCCATGGATGGCTGCATTAGTATGTAGTGAAGTTCTTTAGGTTGAATTGTGATGATGAGGCAGTCACCAGATTGGACTCAGGCGTCCAGGTGCCCTTGCACGCCAGCTCCTGTGTTTACCTAGACTAGTGCGTGCTCTTACAGAAACTCAGCAGTGCCCATTACTCGTTTTTCACAGATATTCCTGCATGCTTCTTGAGGCTGCTCCTTTCACTGCACTTGGATTTAGCTTGTCAGGAGGATGTAGCTGTTCTGGTAATTTCTTCTTGGCTCAGGTCTCACCTGCGTGTACTGGGGATACAGGTTCGTCAGTCCAACCTGAGAGGCCTCCTGGGTGCAAGGATGTCTCTTAGACTGGGGTCCAGGCCAAGCGGGCAGTTGAGATAACATGGTCTGTAGTTTAAAGGTGCTCTTTGTTTTGTTTTGAATATTCTAGGGCCCTTTCCCCCTTTCAGATGAAGTGTTTTGAGTCTTGTCTGCTCCAAACATGTCCTCTAAGGAAGACACCAGTGTGCAAGGTCAGGCTGCTTTCACATGTTCTGGGTAAACCCTCAGTGTCCATCTCAAAGATTAGTCATTTCTTTTAATAGTGCTTGCTTTCAAATGTCTTCTTTGGGGAGGGTGTTCCCCATCCCCCGAAGGTCCATGGGCAACTTAAAATTCTCCCATAGCTACGCAAGGATTTGTGTTTTCAGGTTCAGTTTTTAAAGGTAATTAACTAGAGGGAATAGGACCTGACAATAGGAGTTGAGTACTGAAAAACCAAAAACACAATCAGTTACATTTTATGTATGATGGAAAACTGATCATCGGCTTTGCCTCAGGCTTTTGTGGCAAGATTCCCTTCCTCCATTTTGATCTTTAAGTGATTATTTAATGTGACAGACTTCATTTGTGGGAGAGGAGTGAGATTTGGGCTTAATTCCAAACACAAATCTCTAATATGGAGTCATATAGACAAATTTAATTAAATAATTTCCATGAAATAGTCTTAATATAGACATTAGAACAGTGTCCACTCAGGTTCTTGGGAGAGAGCTGGCAATTCCTACAGAGGACCTGTGTGGGCACTCCCAGGGGAGCAGTGCAGTGAGTTTTTTTTTTTTTTTTTCTGAGCCATCCTGCCACCTATTGGCAGCTCAGCGGCTGCTCAGCTCGGGCCGGGACTCGAACCGCTATTGCTCAGAGCTCAAACTCTTGAGCGAGCTTAACCAACTGAGCCACTCGGCCAGCCCAACAGTGAGTTTTTACACGTTGTGCTAACTGCATCTTCCTCCCCCCTCACCACATTCCCTCTATCTGGCCTGGGGGCTGCCACATGCTCACTGTCCCCCCGGGGAATAACTACAAAGGATTCAACCCTAAAATAATTTTGAAGAAAATTTTCTTGAAAAATTGAGGTGGCAACAGAAGATTATTAACTGTCAGCCTAACAACAAATCTGGATGGTCTTAATTGTATTAAAAACAACATATGCAAAATCAAGAGCTCTGCGGCGAGACAGTTTTTATTTGGATTACTTCACCTGCTAACTCAGCTGGAAGGGCAATTATTTCGGATTTCAGTAAAAAAATGTTACCAAATCTTGGCAGAGCTTTATTATATATTCACAGATATAAACTAAATTGAAGCAATTCTAGAATATCCTAGCATGTGAAAATCGAGTTTGGTTATTATTTAAATCTGCTTAGGGGCATGCATGTATCGATACCTTTTCAAATTCAAGGTGAACCTTCAGTTTCTAGGTCTGTTTTGACACAGCTTTTATTTAATAAGATTTGACACATTTCTTTAAGCCACTAAAAATCTTTTAAAAACATGATAAAGGTTATATGAAGGAAATGATAAAAATACCATCATGTGGTACCCAAAATAATATTTGGGGACACTTACTATGTGTCAGACATAGTTCTGTGTCTCATACATCCACATTCCATCCTCGTAATAATTACTATTCTATTTTTCTGCCTGTGGCAACGAGAGTAGAAGCAAATGTGCTCGAGGTCACACAGTGAATGACAGAACACAGGCAGTCGAAGTTCCAGTGCTGACAGTAACCATGCAGTTGAACTAGTTTAAAAAAAAAATAACTTAACTAACTAAAAATAGATTTAGACTGCAGAATCCATTCATCAAATGCAGTCTGATGGGCATGGCTGCTCTGGTTTAAGTGGGCATGCTGTGGCACCCACCCCCTCAATTTCCTGAACACCCAGTAGATAAAGAAGTTCAGTCCTGTCTTTTTTATTTTTATTTTTTTTAAGCTGAGCCATCCTGCCACCTTCAGTCCTGTCTTTTATACATGTGTAAATTAAAGCCGAGAGAGGTAAACTGACCTGCTGTAGGTCCATAAAACGACTTACGGCAAAGCTGGGACCAGAATCAAGTCTTCTGCTTGCCTGGCCGCCGTTCTTCCTGCTACAGGACTTGCTTATGGACGTCTGCTGCTGTTAGTGCATAATGGAGACATGGTTAAATTACTGTTGCCTTTAGATCCTCCCTTGTCAGCTTTGATGGTGTCCACGTGAACTTTTGCAGAATAGCAGCCATGACAGGTGGAAAAAAATAAGATGAATTCTGCTATTCCATCCTCCTATCCTGGACTCTTAAGCTAGGAGGCAGTGCTGCTGTCCCTTCCATCTGCTACTGCCTTCTCCCAGGTACACTGAAGTAGAGTACATTTCTTGGAAATTTACCCATGTAAAATTCTCACATTTGTTAGGCACTGATGCTTCCCTGTGGAGTTTGGTTTATTATAGTGTGAAACACATGTCATTTATTCTTTGTAGCTCTCAAAGTTGCTGGAATTTTGGCTTCAGTAGCAGCTCAAAGATAGGCATTCTCTGTGATATGTGATCTCTTTATAACACTTTTTGTTGCTTTGGAGTCAAGGATCCTTTCTCTCTCCCCTCTCTTGAATTCCAAGGGTCCCATTCACTTGTGGGCCGGCCAGTTATGTGACGGTGGGTTTCCTGTATGGGAAGGGCAGGCTTGCCAGTGCTGGCCGGGAACAGCTCCTGTAACTGTACAACCCAGTGCTGCATTTGTCCTGTGTTGGGCGTGTAAGTGCCATGACCACTGCCCCTCTAACTTGACTATTGAGTGGTCCTGGTACCTCAGAGCCTGTGGGCTGGCTGGCTATCATTTGCATTTGTTTCAGATGAATGCTTTGTACCATTAACAGGCTTTTAAATTGGGACCTTTTTACAAATGAATGTTTGCTGTTGTGTGAAAGATTTTGAGATCTGCTTTCTGTTCCTCCAGGTACAACTTTTTCTTTGTTGTGTCCCTTGAATATCTGTGGAACTGTTGCAGAAAGAAGGTTAATGTGACATAAGCTAAATAAAGTGCTTTTCATAATTTTGGTTTCAAAAATGTATATTTGTCGGGAGTTGAACATAAGAAATTTCAGTGATTAGGCTAAGTAGTGTTCCCATTCTATTCTGAATTCTATTTTAGGTTTGCAGAGCCTTTCAAGAATTTGATGAAAACCATGGACCCTCTTCCTGGAAAAAGGTACATAAATACAAATGCCTGTGTACGATTTTGAGTTAAGAGTCTCTGACTTAAACTGTTGAAGACTTTTTAAACAGCAGCAGTTTTAGGCAGCTGATCCCACACATGTGATTTATGACCACATGCTGTGTGCTCAACTAAAATGCAGCCCACATACATAGAAATATAAATTTGGGTAGATTTTCTGTAATTATGTCATTGGAGTCAATTAGTATATACTCCGTTAGGGATGGGGAGAAAATTCATTCCTCCTGAAGTTATCTTAATGCCAAGAGTCATTTGAAATTTTCTCTTGTGCATGGGGAATACAAAACCTGTGACATGTAAAGCAGGTCTTACACACTTGCTTAACAAGTGTGTCATGCAGGGGCTCAGCTCCTGGCGGGTGAATGCAGGATACGGTGAGGCAGAAAAGGAACAACAATGGAGCCATGGATAGGGAGTTCATACCACTATATTCTTGAGGGCGGCCTGTCAAGACACAGGAAGCAAACATCCGCCAATACCCCAACAGGGTGTCTTCCTGCACCATAGTCTCGATGGCAGCTGGTGGAGACACAGGAAGTAGGATCCGCAAGATCCAGGCTTGCTAAGGTAGCCACAGTGGTTATATATAAAATAGTGGCTAATGGCCAACTGGTTACAGCTGATGGCCTAGTAGTTACAGGAGTGTTTGCATGTGTGGATTACGTAACTGAGCCAGCACCTTTCCACTGTGAGGCCAAGAGCCTGGAAACTGCTCTCTGGGACTCTGTCCCAACAAAGTGTTTGGGAGATGTGAATGAAGAAAGGCTCCCATGGGTTGAGGGTAAGACTCAGAGGCCTTTATCCTGAGAATCAATTTGCTTAATTACACTTTAAAATGCAAGTAACACTTGCCTTTCACTGCAACTTTGGCCCCAGAGTCCCTCCCTAAAGGCAGAAAAGGTCTCTACATGGTCACCTCCTTTGGAAGGAAAAGGACATAGAGATTCTGCCTTTTGCCTCTGGCAAAGCTGGAGCAAAGACCTTCTAACCAACTCAGTGGCCTAAAGAAAAAGCCTGGATAACATCTTCACTTAAATTTCCCTCTGGATTATTGTAATCCATGAAAAAAGATGAATTATTTCAAAGTGTTAAAAGACAAATTACATGCTAAAAAAGTACCTTTCCCTCCATCTCCCTTCCAACAATTTGGTAATGGGAAGACAGATTCTCTTCAGCTGGTCCCTTTATGTAAAGCTGTTCGTGAACTGCCACATCCTGGGGCTGTTGGGAGCCACAGAAGGGGCACCGGTGTTGGAAATCAAAGCTTCATCGACTGCCTGGCTTCTTTGCTTCCCCTGAGGTTTGTGTTTTGCAGAAGAGAGCAGGAACTGAGATTGCTCTTGAGTCAGTGGCGTCTCCCATGATGCAGGTTAGGAGTGGTTAATGAGGAACTAGCTCAGAAATGTCTAATCACTCCCTTTGTTTAGGTGAAAAATAGATAGTGGTATTAGGTCTACATGCAAAGCAGGTGGCATTGACTGTTATGTTTGTTAAGGATTATCTGTTCGCCGTGGAGAGAGCTGGGAATAGAAAAATCTGGGTGACATGATCCTTCCACACCAGGCTGCCCCCTTTGCTGCCTACAGCACTGGAAGGTCACACATGGGTTAACTTCCGCATAGAAAGGTGGGTTTCAAGATCTCTTAAGTGATTCTGTACAAAGTAGAACATAAAGCTTAGCTTCGAGTTCAAAACTAATAAATCCCCCTAAATATTTTAAAAATAATTTTTGTTCCTGGAAGATTATTATGCATACTATTTAGCTGCTTTGTAATATAATCCAGTCAACAAAAGTATGGCTATTTTTTGTTTTAATGAGAAACATCTGAGTTGCACTGAGTTGCACATATGACAAACAGCTTCAGGTAGCTGTACCAACCCCCCGTGGCCAAACAGTGAAAACCTGAAGCATCGCTTTAAATGTGAAAAGTCTTATAAAAATTAACTTACAAAAACGTCCTTATCAAGTATGTAGTTTGGCATTTACTGTACATTAGTCAAAAGCTCTAGCTAAAATCTGATTTCCTTTAAAAAAATCAAAGTTTACATTATTCATACAGATTCAGCATTGTTAAAAATATGCACAAATAACCACATCCATGCAATATAATTTCTTTAACAACTTAAAGCAATATAAAAAAGCAGACCTAAGTACTGAACAGAACATTTGGTGTATAACCTGTAGCTTAAGGTTGCTAGCTGATTGGAGAAAAATTAATTCTAAACATTTAAAATATGATTGTTTTAATCCATCAGCCAAGGGTGTGTGGGAGTTTCTGATCCACTTCTAAGGCGGAATCTGCTTGCTTGTTTCTAGAACATCTACTAGGTGATGAACACTACTGTTCATTGACCATATTCGCTACATTTTAATAATGTTGTTTTACGAATAAATCAGAATTCACAAAGTGCTTGGCTCTTCACGAAACTGCAGTTTCCAGAGATCCCCAAACTGCCCAGGGCAATGGCTGCCCAGGGGGGAAGAACATCATTTGAAAGCTGCCGTGGGTCCCGAGAGAGCCCTCTCTGGCCAGGCCCTGCGGGAGGTGTCCACAGCAGGTCCCTGCGCCAGGCCGTCCCTCAGTCACTCACAGGTGGGCATGGGGCCGTGAGTCAGGCACCATGTAAACAGGCTGTGGGGTGGTGCTGGTGGCCAGGCTGAGCCCTCTATGTGGGCGGTGGCCCGTTGGTGTACCGCAGCATGGGGTAAAAGGACCTGGCGAAGTTGTTGGCCTGAGTGCAGCTATAGTCCTCTTCGGAGGAGGGCAGCAGGCAGGCCAGGAACAGCAGCAGGAGGAGCAGCAGCTGGAGGGGGAGCGCCGCCCTGATTACCCGGGAGAGGAAGGAACGCTGCGGCCTGGAGCTGCCCAAGTCTGTGGGCCCGGGCACCCTGTCAACAGAGGAGGTTGAGAGCCGATCAGAAGGTTCCAGAGGCAAAACCCACTTAGGTTACCTGACCCCCTGCTTACGTAGGTAAGACAACCAGGACTTGAGATTAAAATGGAGCCAGTGTGGGAACAGAAGCCCAGATCTTTCCAGGGGAAAGAAAACCAGGCTTTTTACAAAGACCTCGATAGTAGCAGTGGCAGGACTGGCGAGGTTGGTGGAACCGGGGAACTCAGTGCTGGGATGGCAGTGGCGTTACCTGCTGTCTGTCTTGTTCTTGCCTGTTGTAGTTCTCTCGCCTCCGAGCTGCTGGATAAAAATCATCCATTAGTGAGCCGAAGATATTTTGGTTCTGTCCATGATAAAACATTCTTCCTTCTTAAATTATAAACCTTCCTTAGGCTGGCTTCCTGACAAGCTTTTGAGACTAGAGTCATACATTTGAGATTCAACTCTATGAGGTAAGAAATAATTGGGTTAAATTAGCAAGAGTTTCATGTTCCAGTTTGTTGATCTGTTGTTAAGGGGGAGACCAGGAAGCCCCTTTAACAGTGCTAGAAGGGCCCCTATCTTTCACTTACTACAGCCTCAAAGAAGAGAGGCTGACTAGAAGACAACTTTTGAGTTAGATCTTTAAAAGTATATATGTATTTATTTACTTTAAATCTTAGGAGTAAGCCAGCAGGTTAAAGCACCTCTGTGCTGTCATGAATTATCTGAGGCCTTGGAGTCCCAAGTTCCTGTCATCTCTAAGATTTTTAAAAAACCAGTGTGGTCCTCACAGCAGAAAGGGGCTCTCACCTTTGCCTGGGGAGCTGGCACAGATGCGTCTGGAAGCTGGTCTCCAGCATCGACCTCGTCCAAGCCGAGCAGAGATGGGTCTGGGCTCTGAAATCCATACCCCAAGGGTTTAGTTCGGGGAAACAAGGTTCTGAATAGTCTCAAGAGCACAAAAACGTGCTTCCTGCAGAGTCTTCATTGCACCGCGCTTCCCTTCCCCCAGCTCAAATCTTTCCTGAAGAGGGGGCTCTTCAGCTGCTCTCGACCCCCACTTCAGCAGGGACATTTTCAGACAAAAGGGAACGTCAACCAGGCAAGCCCAGCCTCTTGCATTAAAAACCCATAGCCCACACTGGGGGAGGCTGAGGTCAGCAGGAGCAACGGGGACAGAAACAGCTGGAAGCTTGCTGGAGGTGCTGATGTGATCATGTGGCCATCAAGACACTACAGCCTTGGCTGTACAAGAGGAAACACTGGAGGGGCCGTGGTTTGGGTATCTCTTTGTTCTGAGTTGGAGCACATTTTAAAGAGCAGAAAGTAGACAAATGAGAGAGAGAGTGGTCAGAAGACAGCATTCAGGATAGAGAACTTGAAAATACGTCACGTGAGAAAAGTGAACGCTCGCGTCTGTTCGGCGTGGAGGCAGAAATGATAGAAAGGACAGAATTGTTTTTCATAATCCAGCCCTACTGATAGGAAGGTACACTTGCTGTCTTCGTACACATGACAAAACAGCGTCAGAGCGCATATGTACTTTGGTCACACAGCTAGAAAGGGGCCTGGCTGGAGACCCCACCCCCAGGGTGTGCTTCCGGCTTCCCTCCCACAGCAAGGCTGCAACACTGCTTCCCTGTTTGCATCGAAGGGGATGTCTTTATATTTACAAACTACAAGGAGACTCACCTGGCTTCCTTGCAAGGACATTAAGTCTTGGGACACTTGATCAAGTAGCTGTTTGAGTTTCTTCTCAATGACGTGTACCTTCTCCTCAGCCTCAATATAGTCTTCTCCGCGCCCCTTAATCAGGAGGCTGTCTGAAATCTCTTGTAAGGAGTTTACTTGAGGTTGACGTTCCATTAGCTCCTTTTCTAGTTGCTAAAATAAAAAACGTGTGTGAAACAGTCTGCTTATCCAAAAGGAAATGCGCGTGGTCAGATGAGGCTTTCTCAGTGCTCCATTCCAGAACCTTCTACGTGTTGTGCCTGCCTGTCCTTAAGGTTAGCATCCTTTAGATAGCAAGTTGGTCACAGCCTACCCCTATTTTTTTTATTCTTTCTCATTCTGGAGACAATTGTGATGCTAGAGGAGTTAGAGAAAAGAAGTGAGGGAAGACAAGTGCCCTTATCCACTAATGGCTGGAAGTCAGGGAAAATCTAACATAAATAAATTGAGAGAAGGCAGCTTAAGCATCCTATTTAGAAATATGGAGGTATCTGGTAAATCTGCTTATATTGTGGAGGGCTGTCATCTTGCTCACTGTCCAAGGTGGTAGCCACCAGACATCATGTGGCAATTTAAATTTAAATGAAAAGATCCATTTCAGTCACAATAGCCACATTTCAACTGCTCAGTAGCTACTTGTGGCTAGTAGTTATCACATTGGGCAGTGCGAATGTAGAACATTTTCATCATCACAAAGTTTGATGGGACCGTGCAGCTCTGGAGAGTGGGGCTTTACAAAGATTTTAGTACAAAAATCTGGTTTTTTAAATAACGACCAGCATTTGGATTAAATTGACAATATTTAAAGTTAAACCACATATAAATATATGGATAAAAATGTCACCTTGAGTGCAAATGAGGTCTTATGTTGGCTTGTGAAATAAATATCTGAAAACACAATTATCCTCCAAGAAGTAAGACTTTTTTTCTACGGTAGATATGGAAAACTCATATAGCTCCTCATGGCTGCAGACAAGTGAGCACCATATTTTCCCCCAAATGAGCTGTATTCACAAGGGAAAAAAATAACTTCAAATGGCCTGAGTTTCTCAGGATGCTGCTAAACACCTTTGTCCCCAGTTCCCAAGTCTTGCCGACTTCCTGCTCTCGGCCATAGCTCTTCAACCCTGCAGGCCATCCTGCGACAGGACCGCAAAGGGACGCTCAGGAGATGCCCACAGAACATGAGGCCAGAACACCACACTGGCACTGGGGTTCCCAGAGACACCAGCTGAGGCTAAGACCTGACAGAGGCCAGTGGTAGTGCAGAAACGCTTAGGAACTAGAAACTTACCATCAGTTCTTCCTGGCACTCCAGGAGAGCCTGGGGGTCTGCCTCTGGGTCAGTGACATGAGCCTTCTGCCTCCGGCTCTCGGCACTCGCTAACCACAGTAGCAGATTTTGACTCAGCTGATGGAAGTCCTTAAAAAAAACAACACACATCATAACAATGACCTTTCATAAAGCTAAGATGGAAGGTGTGCTTGCTGTTTCTAGTCCATCAGAGAGTCATTTGCTTTCTTGCCTTATCCAGTGAATAACAGGGCCCCAAAACAAGGAAAAGGGGAAACAGGGAGGGAGCACACACCTGGCACAGCCCCAGGAGGCACGATGAATTTTGCGAAGTGAAGTGCTGACAGAAAGGTGGGGCTTCAGGACGCCCCGCTCGATATTATACAGGAAGACCACACAAAGTACACGACACAGCTGCTGGGTTCAATGGCTAAGGGAGACAACCCAGCAGGACAGGCTGTGGCCCTGGGGCAGGGTTCCCTAGGATGGGGTCAGAGCTAACATGGACCGAGCATTTACTGTGTGTCAGGTGCTGGGCTACAATTACATGCATGCAGTCCTAAAATGATGCCTGTGAGGTAGGCACTCAAGTTATTCCCATTTTTCAGGTGAGAAAACTGAGGTCTAGACGATTTGCTCTAAGTTACACAGCTACTAAGGCTGGAGAGCTGGGTTAAAACTGCTCCTTGTTCCAGGGCCAGGTCTCTTAATCACTCTGCTATGTGGCCTTCCTGGCAAAAGGACAGAGATGGGGCAGTGCTGGGGTGGCATTCCTGACCCGCTGGATGGCTTGCTGGACCCTTACACTAGAAGTGGGCCTGGGCAACAGACCAGGAGATGGGGGTGGAATGGGGCTCTTTGTAAACAAATGGTAAAGCACACACGTTTCCTAACACAAGCCATATTTGGCTACACAAAAGCAGCCTAATGATGATAAAAATATCTGCTTCTCCTACCCACGTGGGCCTGGGGTGCCGGTTGTGGGCGGCGTACCTGGCACTGCATGACCGACTGCCGTAAGCCCTCTCTCCAGCTGTCCACCGCGCCCTGCGCCGTGTCCCAGTGCAGCCTCAGCTGGCCGACTCTATCCTGGAGCTCTCTGGACTCAGCGCTCCCAGTCTGCAGAAATTCCCTGCTGCTCAGGTTGACAGAGACCACTAAAGCCTTGTAGGTGTCAAAGGCTTTTAATATCTCCTAGCGCAGAAGAAAATATTGGGTGAGGTACTCTGAAGATAGTGATGTTGGCTTCATTTTGAACCTCAGGGGGGAACGGCTCTTCCAAACACTCCTCCAAGCTGTGGCCACAGAAACAAGAGTGACCTCGCCTGTGACTGGCTGGGAAGAGTCAGGTGAGGGAGTTGCCCTACAAGGTCAGTGAACTGGCCGGCTGGGCTGAGGGCAGAGGCCTGGCTCCTGGCCGGCCAACTCAACCAGACCCTGCTGGGCTCGCTGGCTCAGTAACATTTCTGGATCAGATTAAAAGTCTTCCAGATAAAGTACACATAGTTATCTTGCATTTGCCCCTTGGTATTACAGAAGTGGTGTTCCTCAGGATGAGTGATCACCCCTGACAGATTAATGCACAAGTAAAACTAAAATACAAATATGAAGACTGACTGCATCCCCCCAAACCCCTGCCCTGGGCCCTCTTAGGGGTGTAGGCTCATGCTCGGGGCCCCCCGAAGTGCAGCGCCCAAACTGCCCCTCCCTGGCCAGGCAGTCCAGTGGGGCAAGGGCTGATTGCGCAGGTGACAAATCCTAACCATGAAGTAGAATAACCGGATCAGGCTACAGAATCTGTCAGTAGGTGAGCTGGTCCTCCTCCCCACCTTCAAGTTGCCACCACCAGTCTGGACCAGGTACAGTCTGGGAGGGTGTTTTTAGGCTGCCTCTCAGTGGCCACTAGCACCTCCATCAGAGCCTACAGGGGCCTCTGATGTCAGATCTTTCCAGCACTGGGCACCCGAGCAACACCTCCCAGCTCGGTGCTGGGCTTTGGGGCCGTTTGTAGATGCTCCTTCTGAATGAAAATGAAGATTGGCATCCATGGCCTTGCCGGTTACAGAAGTGAAACGAAGAGACCGATGGCCACCACGCACCCTGTGCAGGCTGCCACCTCCCCGACAGACCTGATCCGCAGAGCGAGCATCTGCACCGCGCTCTGAATCCCTCTTGCCCTGCCCCCATTCACCTTCAGTCTCTTCACTCTGAGCTCCATTTCCTGGATATCAGAGGGCGGCTCTGCCATCTTGAATGTTTCTAGCTCGGCTTCAGTTTTTTTCAGCCAGGTGGTGATGTCGCTGATATCAGAGTTCAGCTGCTGCAAGTTTTGTTTTAATCTGAGTTTCTTGTGAAGTTCTTGTGCTTGAATCAGCTCCCATCTGTCAAAGGCACCTGGAATAAAAAGCCACCAGTGAAAAGAAGCAATTACATAAACAGTCCTTTGCCTCTGACTAATTCAGGGTCAGGGTGATAAGGCCTGTAGGGGACGCTCCCAGCCAGAGGCTCACCGCTTGGGAGTTGTCCCTTCCCCTGCAGTGTGGAATGGCATGTTTCCCAGGCTCTGGTTCAAGGCCAGTACCACCACACGCCCACCGAGGCTGGAATGAGGCGGGGCTCGGGGTGGGGGACCCAGCACGTCGCCCACATGCGCGCTGGTCCCTAGTTCAGCGTTTCAGTTCATGCAGGTTTTAGGGCGCTTTCTAACTCGAATAATCAAGTTAGTGCTGTCAGCTTGACTTTAGGCTTAGTTGAGTAATGGCTTTTGTAATCATTGAACTGGTCTTCTGAGCAGACACCTGACACAAATCTTTGATCATCACCTTCATGTCTGATCGTTACATACAAGTGAAGTCACTGAAACATGCACTTCATCATCTGAGGCTCATTCTATCCATATTTAAAGAATAGTTTTGAAAGTAAAGTGAACAGCCAGGGAATTTGTTCCTAACCATCAGCCAGCTGATTCTAAAATAACATTGGCTGAGTAGTCGGCCAATTCCTAATTAATGTTCTGTTGAGCAATGACTTAAATTCCTGACATACCCAAAATACAGACTCCACCTCTTTGAACGAGTGCCTGAGTTAACCGTACCTGACTGCTGCCCGGGCGGACTGGCCAGTGCCTCGTCGTCCTGCTGTGGGCTGCCATTCACAACTCTTGGGCCTTCTTTGCCACTGTCGGTGTCTGGAGACAGCAGCTTTACCTAGAATGAGCCAATTTTTTATGTTATCATCTATCAATTTTAAAAGCTGTCTGAAGAGTATCTTGGTTCATGTTAACAAGTAAGAGATGAGGATGTGGGAGCCCTATCCTTCCAAGGGTAACTTGCTGGTAAGAGAGGGACATTAGCGTATGGGTAGCATTTCTGAGCATGCAGAGCTGATGGCAGAAATAAAGCCTCAGCAAAGGCCCAGGGAGGGGGAAGCAGCGAGATGTCTGTAGGGAATAAAATGGCCTGATTTAATTTAAGGCTTCCTCACACTCTTCAAAGGAACCATGCAAAAAAGAATTAAAGCAACTGTTGAGCTCACCAGACTGCTATTGTGTAAGCGCTTTTATATTTGCACAGTGTTTTACAAAGTTGTAGCTGTCCCTTCCTGTCACTCTGTAGAGAGGTGGGCATTACAATAATGTAATGTAATCGGAAACACACAGAGGACAAATCTGCCTCCTAGGGTCGTTCATTACCAAGCATTTATCTTTCACTGCACAAACTGACTCTTCTGGTATCACAGAGCTGATTGGGCTATTATCTCTGGCCTTTCCAAAAATAAATGTGTCCTTTTTAGAAAAGCCAGGTTCTCTTTGGATTGTGTCCATATGGCCTATTTGTGTGGAATGAAAAAAAAACAACAACCCTTCAGATTTGTGGTGACATGCCTGGTTTCAGACCCCCAAAAAGGGATGAGCTTTTGAAAATGGCCAGGTGTGGAACATGAGCACAGCACCAGGAGAGGCCAAACCACATGGCCCTGGATATAAAGCAGAGGTGCTGGGGTCTCTCCCTCAGACTGTCAGGTCTTACCCTGCACCCAAGAGAGACATTAAAAATGACAACTGCTTGCTAAGCAAAAGGAAGAGTTCTGAATGGGCATGGACAGTCCATTATCAAATGACTCGGGTTTGACTATGTACAGGTAGAAACTCCAATTATCTAGGCATATTCACTCCTAGACACGGAGGGCACTCTGAGGACTAATCCAGTGAGGCTTACATTGCTTCTGGTTTCTCTATGAGATGACATTAAAAATGCACAAGACATTTTCATTTCAACTCACTCGCCATTAATTCTCTGTACTGAGAATGACCTGGGGCCAACGTTAAATCCTAGGCTGGCTAGCACCAACAGCTGCGTAGCCAGAGGCATGCCAGGGACTCATGTTGCCCGAGGGAAGTGTAACTAAGAAGGAACCATCACTGTTATAAATAACAAACCACATACATAGTAGTATGTAGTACTAATAATGGCGACCACTTCTGAGGGCCTTCCTCATATCTTCATACCCATGAATCCTAACAACAACAATGATGTCAGGTATGTTTATCCTCTGGTGAGGAAGACTTAAGGAGGTAAGGACAAGTGTTTATGGCTCTAGAGCAACGTGTTGGTAGGGCTAGGAATCAAACCCACGTCTATTCCATAACACAGTCAAACCATTCTGGATATGAAGTCATAATCTTTTGAATTGGATGTGTGGTCAAAAGGTAAATATAACCAAGGTTACTGGGCTGGCCAACTGGCTCAGTTGGTTAAGAGCTCGCTCAAGAGTGTGAGCTCTGAACAACAGGGTTGCCAGTTCGATTCCCGGCCCGAGCTGAGCTGCCACTGAGCTGCCAACAGGTGGCAGGATGGCTCAGCTATTAAAAAAAATATATACACACACACATACACACACACACACATATCTATCTATCTATCTATCTATCTATCTATCTATCTATCTATCTATCTATCTATCTATCTATCTATCCAAGGTATGGGAGCCCAGGAAAGCTTGCATCTCACTTCTCTACTATTTGCATGGATGACTGACTCAACAGTCATAGTCACTGTTATATCACGTCGACACACACAAAGATGGTTTTGGGTCACAAACTTATCTTTAACGCTAGTCAGTTTTGCCAGGGTTCTCATGAAATACGGACAGCTCAGTAGAAATACTGTCACTATGAGAAAACCAACTCAAAAGGTGCCTGGGGACTGAACACATGCAATATACACCAAAATCTCTCTCTAGGAAAATTTTAACTGTGACTCATGCACTTGGGTTATATTCCCAGTAGGGTCAAGACTTACATAGGCTGGCTTATAAGGGGTGCTGGAGTCTGAGGGGATGGGTTGTACATTCCTATCACCTCCCATTTGTTTGTAGCGATGCTTGGGACAGGAAGGACTGTCAGGAACATGCCATGAGTGGCCTTCAGAAATGGATTTACCTGAAACAAAAAAATAGCAAGTGACGGTCCATTCTCCCCAACCAAGGATTCATGTTGAGTTACACAAAAAGGTCATGGGTAACATGGCATCAGGTTACAGTATAACATGAGTTCTGCAGCTTTCCTTGCAAAGCATGCACATTTGCAAAATGTCAGTATGGCCCAGAAGGGAATGAAATGAGTCATGCAACTGAACAACGCTGGGCCTTCACTAGATGGGTTCACAATGGAGCACAACAAACATATGATTTGCTGCGGGATGAGTGGCGTTTTGGAGCCGGGGTCTCTAGTGCCGGGGACACTGGCAGAAAGCTGGGTCTGGGCGCCAAGAAGACCGAAGGCCTGTGAGGGGTGAGGGGAAGAGTGTCCATCAGGATGGACCTGGGGACCAAATGGCGGCTCACGCAGATGGGATGGGGCAGGGAATAACCATTAGAGCTGCAAGTCAAGTAAAGGAAGATCTCTTCTCCTGTGGAAATGCAACAGTACCTCTACCCCCACCGACTCACCCACCCACCCTCTTCCCAGGAAATCACCATAAGCAAGGAAATAGTTCCAAACCAAGCCACCATGAAGAAAGCTTGGCCCATGCTGAAGGACTCGAGTTAGATGGAGGGAACATAAAACACTTTAAAAGGCACCATGACAAATTCCCGTCTGCACAGGCCTGAGGGGATGGCATCGAGACTGCGCTGGTCTGGGCGGGGTTTTGTAGGGAGCACGCAGGTATGTGTGAGTACGGCAGTGTAAATACACCATGACACAAAGACCAAGGCGCATGGTGTCCACAGAAGGCAGAGGTCAGACATGACATGGGAGCGAGGTTTAGGATGCAGCGTGCGCCACAGGGTGCTGCCATGTTGAGACACATGCACGGGCAGGGGCCTACCAGAAGACGCTTTCAAAGTTTTTGTGGTCATTTTAAGATATGCCTCAGGATTTTCGGGGATTTCTACATCTGAAAAAGAATAATGTCATTTTCCTCACTGCAGGCGTCTGTAGATGAATGCCCAAGTATTAAGTTAAAACAGTAGAAACATTGCCATCTGGAAGGAGAAGAGTAACTACCCTTTTTCTGTTTTATTAAAAAGCTTTAAAAAACAAACACAAAACCAGGATTTTTTTCAGCCAACTCCTGTCTGAAGCAGTGGTGGGGGAGGGGCAGTGCACAGAGAGTGTGGAAACACTGACTCTACTGATACCCTGGAAAACGCAAGTGAAAAGCTCACTGATGAGCCAGAACCATCAGGGAATGGCCTTAATGTCCCAATGTGAATTTCGTTTTTTCCGCTTTCATCCCGCCTGTGATAGGAGTGAGCCAGCTCTCAGGTAAGGCCAAAGTGGGCAGGACAGAACATAGGAAGCCACTGGAAGTCTGGGTCAGCCATAGACTGGACTCTTGAGCATCAAGAGTTGGCCATGTTGCTAAGGTGCTAAAAACAGAGCCAAACGGGTCATTCCAAGGGCTTTGGAAGCCCGGCCGTTACCTGACAGCGCACTGTAGTATGGGCCCTCCTCGTCTTCTTCGTGAGAGGAGGAGCCCCCCACGTCACCTGTGTGATCCCACTCCAGAGGGATGGAGTCCACGCTGACAGGGGTCTCGCAGCCAGACCGCTCAGGCCCTGGTGCCGGCGGCACTAGATGACAAAGGGACTGAGGAGACGAGGGCTCTTCCATTTCTCTCCTTTTACGCCAAGAGTCACTCTGAATCTCTCTGGGGTCTTCCATGTCTGTTTCATTCTCAGAGGCCTCCTTTTCATCTTCCAAGCCCTAAAACAGTGTATCTGGTTTTCAGAATTAACCAAATCACAGGCTATTGCAGTTATGAGGAGTACTAGGAGTCTGCCTGTCTAGCAGCTCCTGAAAATGGCACTGATCAGCATTTCTGAGGAAGCTTTAAAAAGAACCATGTTCCTAGGCCTTGTGCGTGGCTGTTTCAATTTAGACTATCTTGTAGGGGGCCTAGAATCCGTATTTACCAAAACTCTACATTCTTTTCTAGGAAAAAACCTTCAGTTTGATAATCGAAGTTAAACAACTTTATCTAGAAGATAAAGAAACGGAGGCCCAAGTTTCACTGATGGTTAAAATGGTAGGTTCCTCCAAGAATCAGAAAAATAAAAAAAATTTTTTTAAGGCCATTAGAATGTTCTGAGTAAGAGTCACTTTCAAGGACCATATGTGCCAAGTTCTTTCTTTTTTATCCCTAATCTTATTGCTCAGAATACAGAATCTTATTCTCCCTGTGTTATGACTAAGAAAAACGACTACAAATTGCTATATTTAAAAATGAGAGTAATATGTAGGTAATCTTTGAGGCTATATCCGAAAAAGAAATTATGTTTGAAGTTGGCCAGTTGGAGACACAAAAAAGTAAAGGTGGCCAGTTGTACTGGTCAATGGTCATCATTAAAGCTTCTGGCATACAAAGGTCATGAACTTTGAATAATGGTCTTAACTCCACCTGAATTCCCAAAAGGCCCCTTTGTCAAGGGAAAATATCACAGATGCTTTCAAAAGATGGTACTTCTGGCATTTCATTGATAAGAACAAAACACCAGAAAGGCTCAAATGTTAAAAGCTCCCAGACACTAAGATAGAGGAAAATGCCAATACATCCCCAAGTTAATGCTGTTAGCAAAACCAGAACAGTTATCAACGGAGTAGCAACACATGCCACAAAAGCCCTGTACCGAGGAACATCTGAAAAACATGTAAGAGAGGCAAGAACTTTCAGAGGTGCCATTCTTGCCACTGGGACACAGGAGCTTCTAAGTAATTGTGGCTCTGTGTTAATAAGAGTGGAAATAGAATTCAACATGGCTTTTTTTTTTTCTCCTAATCATAAATCACTGTTAACCATTCCATGATGATAAGTCTGGTCAAACATCAAGTCTGATGGTCCAGAAGCCCTCTGCGGGTGGCATTCCCCTTACCGGAGCATGGGAGGTCAGCCGCCGGTGGAATCGGGAGACCCTGCCGAATACTTCCTGACAGTACCGGTGGAGTTCCTCCAACTCGTCTTCAATCAGCACGGCATCTAGCGGCTCGCTCTTCTGAATTAGCTGCTCCCCAAAAACGATGAGCTGGTCAATCTTGTTGGTATTTAATGTAATTTCCTGTTGGAAACCCTATTTAGAATATGAGAAAGGATTTCAAAGAAAGAAAATTTCTCTGAGGATTGAGACAATCTCTGTTTTTTATATCAAGACCACAGAAAAAGCACCAAAAGGTCATTATTGTTTTGTTCCTTCACCTACTATTCTAGCTCCATCAATTTTTAACAGGGTAACAGATTTACTAATTTAAAAACGACTGTACATATTTCCCCCTCCCCCTTCTGGGCGCTGACTTTTCCAATTAAAATAATTCTAGAAGTTTGACATGGATGGACATTTACGGTTGTTAGATGTGAGGGAGAGAAGAACTTGTCTTATTGACACTTGGCAGAAACAGAAAATTTCCCATAGTAAGTCACCAATGGGCATTTGTTTGCTTCTGCTGGCATGCAATAATGTTCATTAGTGCCATTATTTTAGGGAAAACAAATTGCCATTTCTCAGCCTCTTGTAAAATCTAGTCAAGGAGGGAATGATGTGAGATTCAAGGGTAATACAGGTGATTTGTAACAGTGCGAGAGGAGAAGGTATCTGTTCTTGGCCTCACATGTTGCACTCAGACCTGAGTGCTGGAGAAACAGCATCTTATGAACTTCTGTGTGACCTAAAGGGTGTTCTCTCCTTGGGTGATTACAATGACAAAGAGGAAAAAAGGGCCTCGTTCCAATGACCTCTTGGCTGTAAGGAACAGTATCCTTGCTCGTGGTAACCCAGCTGCACACAGGTGGATACAGCCTGGCGGCTTCAACAGTTCTGGAATCTGCTCTCAGGGTATCAGGTGAAATTTGTGCTTGGCCAGCTCTCCTCTGCAAAGCTGCATTCTTTTAAGAGGAGCTAAGGGAGCAGGCCTTACGTTCAGCTGGCGCATCTTGTCGTCGGCGTCGCTCTCGGAGAAGTGCTCCACGTTGGTCAGCTGCAGGTCCATCTCCGTGAGCCACACCAGAATGCTTTCCCTGGTCCCCTCAAATTCTTCCCTTTGATTGGTGAAATGCTGCAAAAAGGGGAGAAAAATCACGTTTATGTTGATGGCAGAAGGAGAGTTCAGGTAGACAGCAAGGTCATTTCTGGCTGAAAGGAAGGGGTGCCTGGAATACTCAGAGAGAAACTTCTGGTGGGGACCATGGTGGGGACCATGATAGGCATTCAGGGGCCAGAGTGGGGTCGGGAGCCTGGGTCTGGCCCTGGCTGTGTGACACCAAACAAGTTCCCCAACTTCTCTGGGTTTCAGCATCTTCCCCAGCAAGTGAGGCTATGGGAATGTTGCCTATGATCTCTAAGGTCCTTGCAGCATTTGAAATTCTGTAATTCTCTAGTCTAAGCCAGTGGTTTTCCCAGCGTGTCCTTTGAAGAAGCCCCTCAAAGTCCAAGCCAAGCTCCTTGCCTGTTTTTACCCATTAGCCATCCGTGGAAGCTTTTGCTTGACAGAAGGGCTGAGTAGCTTCAAGATGGAAAAGTACTGATCTCAGGGTTGAGCCTGGACTAGTGCCCCGTTTGCCTTTACTGATGTCATTTTGACTGTGTTTCCTCAGAGATGACCTAGAGGAGATTCATCACCTCCAGGTAAGGATGCCTCTCAAGTTACCACCTCATAGATGGGCAGCGGGTTCTCAGACAAATGCAGCATTTAGTGCCAAATGGAGGTTTAAACTGGTCACACATCAGCAGGAAATAAATTAATGCAAGGGGGTTGTCTGGAAAAGTCTCCAATTTCTTCCTGAGAGGGTTAAAAAAACCAAAACAGCCCAGGTTTTCATCTTCTTAGAATGGTTTCAAGAGTGTTCTGCCCTGAGAACAGATGCGGGTATTAAAACGACTTCCTGCAGACAGTGCACACCACTCCGGGCAGTTTACACCTGGACTCACAAAGGCTGACACAGCACCTCTGCTGAATTATAGAAACCTGAGGTGAATGTTTACATTAAAAAAATCAAGCCCAACCTTTGAGGTTTGTCAGTGTGCTCTGAAATTCAGATGATAATCGCTGTCCCTAACCTCCACAGTGCAGAGGGGGCTTTGTCCATGTTCCTCGTGGTGCCAGAGCGAACGGGACACAGAAAAGCAGACAGAAGGGCCAAAAGGGGCTGTTTCCAGGCTTAGAGGGCCACACCCAGTGACGACAGCGCCCACCTCTGGGCAGTGTGAGCCAACGTGCACACCTAAGTTGGGCTACAGAAGTCGAAAAAAGAGATGTGTTTGGTAACACAAATCACATAAACAGGCTCTGCCTAAAGAAGCCTGTTCTTAGGCAAAAGAAAGCTTTAAAAAAATTAAAAGCTGGCAGCTTTAAGCTTCAACAACAGGGAGGGCTGTGATGGAATCTTAGGCCTTCAATGAAATCTACCCGTGGCTTTCTTACAAGCCTGATATCGCATATCACTTCTCCCCAAACATCTACAAATAACCCGATGACGTAGAGAAGGTTACTCTGAGTCTCCGCAGGATGGCCGTGACCCGCTTCTGGAGGTTGTCCCAGCGCTGGTTGCCCTCGTGGACCATCTGCTTGAGGCGGCTGGCCGTGTCGGTGCGGTTCTCGCGGGCCAGCCGCCGGTACTGCTTGTTGATGAGCTCCAGCTGCGTGAGCCTCTCATGGATCTGTCGCTGGAAGGCCTGCGTCACACAGAAGAACCCGTCAGTGCAAGGACACCCCCTTCCAAACCCCAAACGACCCATTTCAAGTGGTTAATCCCTAAACTGACATGGCCACAGAGGGCTGGCTTCACCTGTTCCTCTGACGCTAGTAAAGAACAGGCTTTCGTTCACTGCGTGCCAGCTGGCATAAATCGGTAACGCAAAGCTGTCTTAGCAGCTGATGGCAGGTTGTGGATGGGCCCTGGGCAGAGGTGGGGGAAGCCAGCCTCTTAAGGGAAGTCATTCCAGCAGCTGCTGAGCCCGCTGCTGGCTTGGTTATCAGGAACTGGGCTGGAAAGGGTCTTTACCTCAAACCTCTTCAGCTCTTCTTTGGCGTTTGTGTACAAGACTTCTGAGGAATTTGGGTAGGCTGCAATCCTCTCAGAGGACTTGAGCCAGTCTTCAAAGCGGGAGTAATCATCTAAAAACTTCTGCCACAGGCGCCACGTCTCCTCAATTCTGACAGGAAGAAAGCAACTTACTACTAGCCATCCATTTCAACCAGAGTTTTGTATTTTTTTTTTCCCCCCTCTCTTGACTAGTGTCATTCCCAGACCTCTAGCACTGGCACTATTTAGGGGGAGAGACCCTGATACCCCTTCCAAGAAATAACCAGGGACACTGCGTCTTGTTCAGGACACCCTTCTGGGAGTGCCAAGCTCAGAGCTCCGGCTTCACAGAGGTTAACCAACAGGAGACAGGGCTTCCTCCATTACTTTATGTTGAGGACACAGAAGTACAGTGGCCAGCCATGGATACAGCCCGAGGCACAAGAGAGCTGGGGAAAGACATTACCCCAATTATATTTTTCTTGAATAATTTCTTTAATAAGCACTGGTCACACTTACTGAGCCTTCTCTGCCAATACCCTTTGAAGTGAAGTGAACAGGACACAGTTACTGTTATTTAGGTCAGAAGGATATACCAAATTCGGCTGAGCACATTGCAAACATTTAGGCGCTGCTCGGTTCTTACTTCATTCGCCGTTCCATCGACATGGCGCAAATGTTCCTCCAGCGTCTGTCCAGGCTTCTGGTGGTCTGCTGGATGGAGTCACACTCCGTCTCGTTGGCACAGGCATCAGAGTCATGCAGGAGGACATCGCAGATGTTAAACACAGACTCCACACCTGCACTGTGCTGCTCAATGTCTCGCTGCAGGTCCTGCAATGACAGCAGAGTAAGAAGCACCGTAAGGTCAGGGTGGTGGTGGTGGGAGGGTCGGCATCAAAGGATCTCCACCCCCCTCCCCATCTCCCAGCCCAGGGGACACCGACAGTCCTGGGTGCATGTCCAGCTTGGAATCAGCCTAAGCACTGGCAACAACTGAGATAATTTGTTGAACTTACTATGTGAGGGGGTGGGAACAGTGGGGAACCCTCCCCTGAGAGCCCCCCACCCCATAGACTCTGGGGAGGCATGGGATCTTCTCTATACCAACTGATCCCAAGGACTTCCAAGTTAGACTTGGCTTTGGGGAGGCCTTCCTTGGAAAATCAAGTTTTCAGCAGGCTCTAAAACTTGAGCAACATTTTTAACAACTTTTACAGGTAACAGAACTCTTAAATCTACTAAGACCTTTGTGCTATCTTCACTCACATCCCAGGTTGTGGATACAGCTGCACGGTGACCCCAATCTAGGGCTCCACAGCCCCAGGGAACAATTCAGGGGTAGAGACCCTGCCCCCACCTCCCCCACTGATGGGGTCCAGTCAAGCTCAAAAGGGGACAGGATCTCTGAAGTCTTGTCCTGTGATGGTGATAGTGGTACAGTTCCCTGACTCAGGAAAAAGAATGCATGAGGAAATGCATGGTTGTAAGAAAAAATGGAAAACCTTTTAAAGAATAAACATGGTATGTTCAGTTATTACCCAGAGAATACTTCCGTCTGCACACTGGTGGGGGGAGAGGGGAGAGGGGGGAGAGGAGGAGCTTGTTTATTTTGCCACGCTGGATGACTTAGGCTTCTCCTGATATCCAGATTCTGTGATAGGTGACGTGCGACCACAGCACTAATCTTAGGATCCAAATTACATTGTGAAATAACAAAACCAAAGTTAAATGAGCTGCTATTAATTGTATTAAAGTTCCCTGGATTCAACAAAATTCAGTGCACAGGAGGAAATTACTTTATAAACAGTGCCTGCCACTATCTACACAAAGGCAGTGTCAAGTTCATACAGGTCACCTCAATATTGAATAATTTTGAAGATTACTACTATTGTATTACAAGATAGGATTAATATTTTCTTACTTTGCTTCTGATAAATGCACAGGATCATTCTGTGCCCAAGTGGATATGAGAGAATAAAATGCTAACACTCAAACCGAATTTTAAATCAAGCTGTTCTTAACACAGATCCTGCTTTAAAGTAAGCACCTCATAAAGTTATATTCAGAAGAAAACGTGGTTTGTAGCTTATCATTCTGTATATCCTGTGAAAAGAGATGTGCAGAATGATGTTTTTTTAAGCTCTGCAGCCCAGGATAAAGGTCTGAAATGCTGCAATGGTAGAGGTCTTCCTGGGATCAGTGTGAGGACTGGCTTTAAGATGATTAGATTTATAGCAGAATTCCAGTTTTAAGAAGTCTTACTGGTTCACAGAATTGTCACAGGCTTTCCTAAAATTTACCCATGTTGATAAACACCCCTTTTAACTTTGTCGAAATAATACATGAGGAACCCTAACACTGGTGCTAATTTTAATTCAAAAACGGTACCTGCCCCTGACCTCACTTGGCTTCATCTGGGCGGGAGCTGGTTGAAAAGCACCGAGACAGCCTCGTCTACAGATAAACATGAATGCCATGTATTTTAATAGACACTTTGCAATTACTCCACATTATTTACTCAGCTTATATTGAAGAAAACAGCTAAAGAACGCTGATTAATAATACACAGGGTGAATGATAACAAGAATTGAGTTCTATTACAACTTATAAGACTATCAACATCTTGGTTAAAAAAAACGTCCAAAAATGTTCAAAGTTTACAAAACAAACTTCTACACCACCATGGAATGGCCGACTGATATTGTAGCATGAACTAATTACCTTGTAAAATATAAAATAATATGGTGGGCCATATCTAAAAACGCAAAGCATGAAACTGCTAGACGAGTGACATTTTGCAAAGTGAAATAGTCCTACCACCGGTAGGCATGAGTTTGCAGAGTGATTAGATTTCAAAACTGTTCACATGTAATCTGAAGAAGTGGACTTCAGAAACAACATGAAACAATATGAAAGGCTTTTGCCAACAGTGCTGGAAACAGGCTCCTGTTCGGTTTCTGTTTCTGCTACTGAGCAGGTGACACAGGGCACTGGAGCTGGGAGGGCATGGGCAGTGAGAGCAGATGGGAGGAGACATGAAACCAGAGCCCAGAATGCAACCAGGAAGAAGGAGTACACAAAAGAACTAGAAAAATAAGAGAAAGGAGGAAAAGAAGAAAACCAGGCTGAGGGGGCAGAAAATCACATGAGTGGGACCTGGTGGTGGTTCCGAAATGTGTCCTTAGGAGTAGCTGAGGGTGGGGAGTGAGTCTGTCACGGTGGCCTTGGGGAGTGGTCTTAGGGGCTGGTGTGAAGCTGAGCTGGCCCGCTGGGGAGGGTGCTGTTGATAACGACAGAATGGAAGGGGACTGACAATTCCCCCTAGGCCACCACCTGGAACCGCCCAGGGAACCAGGGAAACCAAAGAAAACAAGGGTGATGCTGAAGACTCAATAAAAGTGGTTCCTGATTTAAAAGCGTCACAAAGGTTGCAGTTCCTTTACATTTTGAAGATGACATATTCCACAGGAACAACCATACAACCTTTATCACCTAAAGGAATTCTACGTAAAAGTGGAGAAACAAAAAGGACTCTTATAAAGTCTGACCTTCCCACGCCGGAGCCTCAAGGACATTACAATGAAGACCCAGGGACACCTGGCTCTTAATCACTTTTGGGGGCTGACGGCATTTATAAAATGCTGATCTGAGGTGATCTAGGTGACCTGAGGTGTTCAGGTTTTATCTCTGGAGGCAATCAAGCAATTTATTATATTTAATTAGCGACAGAACACAGGTAAGGTTTTTTTAAATGGCCCATACATAATTTTTTAGTGTGATATATTTCTGTTTCTAGTGTCTTTGAGATGACGCGTTTAAGGCCTGGGCTTAGTATAATAAACACAAAGTAATTTTTTTTTCCCACAAAAATACTAAAAGCTTCCTTAGAACATCAGTGGTATGCAAAATATTGTCTTCCGCCTCACCCCCCTGCCAAAGAACCTGTGAATATGCTAGGTTCCATGGCAAAGGAGAATTAAGGTTGCAAATCGGCTGACCTTAAAATCGGGAGACTATCCTGAATTATTCGGGTGGGCCCAATATAATCCCAACGGTCCTTAAAAGTGGAAGAGGGAGATAGAAGAGTCCAAGGGAGAAGTGACCATGGAAGAAAGGCACAGAGAGATGCAATTTGCTGGCTTTGAAGATGGAGGAAGGGGCCATGAGCCAAGAAATGAGGGAGGCCCCTAGAAGCGGGAAAGGACAAAGAAATGGGTTCTTCCCTAGGGCCCCATAAAGGGGCTCAGCCCTGCTGACACCTTGATCTCAGCCCTGTGTCAGATTTCTGACCAGAGCTGTAAATTAATAAATTTGCGTTAAGATGCTAAATGTGTGATAATTTGTTATAGCAGCCGAAGAGAACTAATATGATATCTAACTTCTTTATAGTAATGGTAAGGTCCTGAACGCCAACTGCGGTTTTTCTTTCTTTCTTTTTTTTTTTTTTGTAACCAAAGGATAAGAATTCCATGATCGTGATTCTGAATTTTATAAAGCAGGAACCTTCAAATCAACCAAATTGAAATTAAGTACCATTTTAGTACAGGAATAAACAAAGCCAAGAGAGTGGCAGCTACTCCAAATTATACGCTTTTGGGAATAAATTTCCTGCAATTAATGATGTTTTGTCATACTTCAGATTTATAAAATGTTAACACACACATTAATTAGTCTCTGCCACCATCCAGTCATTCTTTAAGAGAAACAATGTTATAAGCTTCTGTACTATTTATCTGAAAAAAATTCACCACTCAGGGTACATGGTTATTTGTAAGGCCTTATCTATTAAGAGACTGTTCAAGAAATTCATCCTAGTGGATCAAACTTGTAAATAAAGCTGAGAACGTTTAATATATATATGTGACTCCACCAAGAAAGGCATTAAAATCTCTGCAATGTCCATTAACATAGTCCTTACATCAATATTCATTTGTCCACAAAGCAATGACAGAATTTAGATGACCGCAATGAAAAAGACATGTTTAAGTTTTTGAGGCTAAGTGGAAAAACCAGTATTTCTACTTTGTAGCATCGCTAAATCATACTAATTTGAAAATTAGAGAATAGGCATTATTTAAACTATAATAGTTAACAGACTGAATAAAGATCTAAGTCAAGAGGAATATCAAATACTTAGCTCTATTTCATGGTAGCATGAGATGTCACTTATTACCATTAAAAGGACTGACTTGGACTCAAGAGAATTTATCGTCAAGGGGAGGCCTCTGCCCTGAATTTGGTGAAAAAGATTCAGGCACCAATCCTGTCTCTAAGCAGCTGGTGAATCTCAGTGTGTTGACAGACAACAAGCACCAAGGCTTTGGAGCTAACGTGAAGAAAACAGATCTGAGTATGAGACCCTGATGACAACCATATTGCTTATATGGTCAAAACAGAATCTGCTCACGGGTCTGAGAAAAACAGAGGTGAAGGAAAGCTACTGAAGGAATCACATAAACTTACCTACTTTACCAATAAAGACCAGCTCACGTACTGCATATGAGAATGAGCATGTGAATGTGAGCCCATGGAGGGCAGGGACGTGGATCTGATAAGTCAGTGGTATCATGACGCACCCACCAGGTTAGTGTGATGATAAACCCTGGCCAGACTCGGTGGTTTTCAAACAGGAATTTCCAGGATTGGCTCAGAGGGCACGTGACTGATGACAGAAATGCAGAGAGCCTCCCAGGAGAGGCTTCCTAAGCTGTTGGCCCAAGCATGCTCCTTACTACACCTCTTTTTGTTTGATATATATATTTTAAACTCTATCAGACACACAGAGTATTATCCCATGAAAACCTTCCTTGGTTAGAACAATTACTTTTCTTTCAATTCATACCCTCCCAAAACTTATATTAACAAAAACAAAACAAAGATCAAAGTTAAAAAATAATACAAAATAAAAAACCTTATTTGCCACTAAGATTAAGGTCTGTATCTTAAACATTATTCGAAGTGTTTCAGAAAGAACTATGTGAGTGATGGTGGGAGGGTGGACACACATACAAGAACACGGATAGGCAGTCAGTTTTCTCTGGGGAAAAAACCCCGTTATTATGAAATGTGAACATGCTCCAACACACAGCCAATATGGGGAAGGTTCAAGTCGGCAGGTATCATGCACACCTACACTCTTACAAAAGCTCGCTTCTCATCCCCACCTGCTGCTCGGCGAGCCTCTTCTGGATCTCCTGGTCATCACAGACATCATAAACAACAGGTTTCGAAAGCTCCGATTCAATTCGAGCCAACCAGGTACGAAGGTTGCTCATGTTTTTGTCTAGCTGCTGAATAAATGCAAAGGTCTCCTTCAGCTTCTTCACCCTAAACATATTTGCAGGAAAAAAAGAGGTGGAAAACAAAAGCACAACGTTTAGTGGTGAGAATGCACCCACAAGGGTGGTGTTGGATAGAAAGCAACCTACTCATTGGTCATTGATTTTATAGCAGAACAACTCTCCCTAGATAGGAGTTTTCACAGAATAGGTGACACTTTATAATATTGCTGTTTTAGGTGATGTTTAAGTGGACTAAGCAAATACGAAGTCCTTTTATTCCCAGAGTGAGATCCCCTGAGGCCCAGTCCATCTTTCTGGGGCTCCAGAGGGCAGCTGAGACGCCATTTCTCTCTCTCTAGGTTAAATAACCACATTTGGCTTCTTCTCTGTTTCTGCCTTGAGGATCCCCGAGACTGCAGCAGCCAGTGACCTTCCCTGATGGGGTGAAGATGTCACATGCCGCTCATGTGGTGGCATTTGGCCCAAGATGCCTCTCATGGGAGCTTCCTCTTAAGCAAGCACAGAATATGTGCCAAACCCCACCACATTCAGTCTGAGGGGTTGAGGGTGCTGTATGCATAGAACCAGCCTGCCTGGGGCAGCTCTGTCAGCCAAAAAGATAATTTGCAAGCACAGTTCTAAACCCATCTACCTCACCAATCTACCTGACTTGGCATGGAGTGGATCTGAACTAACACACACGATGTCAGTATATTTGGTGAGCTCATTGATATGTCAACATACCGTTAAGGGAAAATGACATAGCTGCTAGGGAAAAAAATCTTTATATAGATCCTGAAATAAAATGCTTCCATAAACTGCTTTCATGAAAGTCTTAAAGTAGAGTGAGTGAGGGCTCGTTCTGAAGATCTGTGGGATTTTTGGTGAATTCCAGAGACTTGAAGTAATGGCTATAGTGGAAAAGTTCCCGTTTACCAATACGCATGTTACGAGGTGCTGTCAGAGCTCCATCCCATGGCACTAGGAAGAAAAACTGGGCACTAACTCGCAGGAAGCCTACTGCACTCCCCACCAGCATCTCTTCCTTGACTGCATGTGAATAGCCTACCAACCTCCTTGCCTTCCTACCCACCTTCGGCTCTGTAGCTGAAGTGTACATTCTAGAGGGTAAGTGATCCACACTCAAACCTTCCGCAGTCCTCGCCCTACCCTGACACACCAGTTTAATCCCCCAACTTTTCAGGTTCTCGAGCGGTCAGTGGCCTCTCTGCCTCCAACCCTGCACTCTGCAAAGCGGCTTCTCATCCCTTCTCCTGGAGCGTCTACCACTGCCCCTTGTCCCCGTGCTCCCACAGCACCCGGGCCCTGCAGCTCTGTGTTGTGCCTGCAGCCTTCATTCACCATGGGCCCATCACACGCTGTGTGGAGCCTGCTCGCTTTGCATGCACGGCACCTCTCACCCTGCCTGGTGGGCAGGAGCTGTCAACAAACCTTTATTGAATGAATGCATGTGTATAAGAGTTCCACTACAAGTTATTTAAGCAGACCACAGAGTTGTATGTATTTGTCTTAATTTTTTTTTTGCATCCTACAATCGACCAAGTCAACCCTGGGATTTCTAGCTCCAGCTCTATTACCAGCTAGTTTGATGAGTTAGGGAAAATCCTTTTACCTCAAGCACGCTCATCTGCAGGAGGCCTCTGAGGTCCCTCAAGCTTTGGGGAGGTGGGAGCATCCAGGGGAAGGTAATGCCAGAACGCTGAAGCTGAGTAGACCTGGGTTTCTAGGTCCCATTTACAATCTATGAGCTGTGCGCCCCTGCAAGAAACCTAACTTCCCTGATTCCCAGTTTCCTTGTCATCTGAAAAATTATCCACCCTGCAGGTGGTTGTGAGACAGAAACAAAAGGATGCACTTAAAGCCTCTGGCACAGAGTAAATGCTCAACAGAATATTAGCTCTTATTACTACTAACTGGGGTTACATGATGCTACAACAGTGCCCCATTTATGTGGCATTGGACCTCACAGAGTCCTTTCATAAATATTTCATTCTCAGCATTGCCATGAGGTAGGCAGGCTTAGATGTAGACTGTGGAGTCTGGTGGTGAAGAACGCAGACTTTGTAGTCAGGGCCTGGGTTTGAATCCCGGCTCTGTGTAATCTCATCTGTAAAACTGTCAACAGTAGTCAGTACCTTCCTTCACTGGATGGCTGAGGGGGTTGAATGAGATACAAACACATGAAAGGCGTTTGGCATGGTGCCTAACTGAGACAAATGCCTAGAAACTATGGTCATGATGATTTTCAGGGGGGTATGTTTTCCAAATTATACTCTTACTGCAAACACCAGAAGGAGGAGGTCCCTTCAAAGCCATTGATGATTTATTAAAAAGGAAGTAACAGAAGCTGGGGTCGCTGGATGCAGCTGGAACCCAGATCACTCCTTTGCTCCTGTGGCTTTAGAGGTACACCCTCCTCACCCCAATGTCTCACTACCCTGCCTGCCCAGGGACCAGAAAGCACACTCCAATGCCAGGGCGGCTGGGAAGCCCAGGCCTCATGGGACAAGGAGTCTTCCGCACAGTTCTCAAGGGGCTACCCTCTTATAAGGCCCTGAGAGCTTCCCTGCTAGGTGGGGAGAGGCGCGCAGGCCCAAAGCCCCTGCACAGCCTTCCTGCCTCCCCTTCTGTTTTCTTCCCGGGAAGGCAGCCCCCCACTGCTTCCTCCAGCACCTGACCCTATTCCATCCTAAGGATTCCGGCCTCTTCATTTTGAAAAGAAGAGGGTTGAACGCAAGTTTTTAAATGAAGGGAGCTAACAAGCAACAACATCGCCTGGGCACAAAAAATACAGAGATGCAGTGATCTTGAATCCTGTTAATCCTGGGGGGGGGGTGTAATAAGCAGAGGGGGGAGTATGCAGAAGGTGGAGGAAGTATTTGCATGGCTTCCCCAGGACCATGGTATCCAACATGGAGGGCTCAACACAAACCAGTGGTGTGTGGGGATAAAATATTAGACTTTCTATTGTTTGCCCATTCTTTCTTAAATTTCTACATTGGGTCTGCTTTATAATTTACAAACTTTATTACAAAAAATGGGACATGTATAGAACATGCTGACATCTACCTGTGCCAGGCCTGTTGTGCATACATGCAACTCATTAATCCTCACAAATCCTATGGGGGCACTATTAGTAACCCCAGATGACAGATGAAGCAACAGAGGCACTGAGATTAAAAAACCTGCCCCAATCACATGGTCATTAAGTGACAGAGACAGGATTCCAACCCGGGCAGCCTGGCCTGGAGCTGCTGTCTTAGGCACTTTGCTCGCGGCATCACACACACACCTGCATGATGCTTAATGTGCACATAACTGAGGGTACGGGATGGTTTTCATTGCTGTCAGGGCACATGACCAGAAGTCTCGACTCCTGTCTCCAGGATACACTAGGGGGTAGGAGCCTGTCCACCAAGTGCTGCATTTTGGGTATCCACGTTTGACCCTCCGTGATTTCCTTTCAATAAACATTTAACCATTTGCTTTGTCTGGGGTCCTGTGCAAATCCTGAGGATTAAAGATATTTGAAAATAGGTCTTTTTCCCAAAGAGCTAATGATCTAATTTCAATCTAATTTGGACATTATAATACAAGATAGGCGGTACTCAATATCTTCTGAAAGAGTAAATGATGTTCACTTATACCTTCAAATTTGTCTTTTTCATACAAGAGGTGGCCATGTTATATATTAAAGATCAGAGCACCTCCAAGCCATCTTGCCACGACAATATGCTGCCCCACTAGGAGCCACACATGCTCCTGAACCTTGTGTTCCATATCCGGCAAGTGAAGGACTGACAGACAAGCACACAAATCACGCGCACGGTTAGGGCAAATTAAAGAGGAGGCAGGGTGGGAACAGAAGAAAAGAAGGTCGCCAGGAAGCTACAAAACATCCATCCAGTCTGGATTTAACCTGCTTCTCGGTCCCAACCTCTGACAGAAGGCGTAATATCCAAAAATGTGCGGTGATAGAAACAAATGTTGTTCCTCAGATAATCATGTTACAGCTTACTCTAGGACCCATCTGATGTACTGCCGAATTTGTAGCGTTCTGTTCTGTACAGACAATGAGATCTAATTATCACCTTCCCCAGGTCAGGAAGTACACGTCACTTGCCAACCCAGGCAGCCGACCTGCACTTTAGGCCTCGTTAATACTGCTCTTGAAAAAGTTGAAATCTTGAGCTAATTCTGGGAAACAGGAAACCCATTCAGGGACCAGGCTGTAACATAGGCAGCAGCCCTAGCACTGCATTACACCCACCACTGAGGCAGGTATTTCTGAGGCTCGTCACCTCTGCACTTGCCTGTTTTACCAGGGGTGCTCAACGGACAGTGTTCACATACACACATTTCAACAAATCCTATTTCTCCAGGAAAAAAAGGAGCATGAGTTCCTGAGCCAGATTCCGGTTCCGAGGATTGGGGGGGAAAAAAAAATTTAGGTGCAAAGGGGAAGTTTTTTCCACCCATGTGTCCTATTTTATATGGAACCAAACAAGAAGAGAATTTTTGCCTAAGAGTAGCTACAAATCAGAAGTTCTCCTGTGGGGGCTGTGGGTAGAAATACAGAAAATAATGGAGGCAAGCAAAGTTTTTCTTTTATCTTAACTAGCAATGGATCAGAATATAATACTTAGGAACCCTGTTGTCCCTCTAAAACTAACAAAATCAAGCCCCTTTAGTAACATTCTGTATATCAGACCTATGTCTTACAATGTGTGTTGGAGGCTTTAAATATCAAATTCATGGATATGGGATAATTTACATTTCAGTCCTATTCTCTACATGCTAAAAGGTTTACAGTTAAATTATAAAGGGCCCAGATCAGCGTAAGCTAAAATAATTCCTATGCCAATGTGGACGGCATAATTTAAAATAAACTAGGATGGTTAAAGGATCTGAATTTGTCCTAAAACAGACGCTGAGACCTGTGTGGGCAGCTGTCAGTTGCTAAAAAACACTGTACAAATTCTGTACAACTGCATCTTTTTAAAATGACTAAACATCTTTATAGTGGGATAAATCAATTACTCCAAGATCTTGAAGCCCAGGTGTGGGGTCATGGACATTACAATACACTTGAGCTAATCGTCTCTTTGAAGCATTTATGTCGCCAGAGGACTTCCATTTTGCACACAGCGTAATCACGTCTCTTCCCGGCTTGTCAAAGGCTGGCTGCAGACACCACACGCATGCTGACACTGGGAAAGAACCCATCCCCCGATGCCTGAGCACACACACACACACACACTCACACACACACACACTCTACAGCCACCATCTCACCCGTAATTTCTATTGTAACCAAAATGAGAGAGCTAGAGAGCAAGACACACAGAGACAGCAGCTGCCTGTCGGCCATAGGCAGAGATGATGACTGAAATGGCACTTACTGTTGATGAGAAAAAATCATTCCTGATGTTTAGCAAGAGCTCCAAGTTCCCGGCTGCACCTCCACCCCCCAGGACGAGGCAGCCCCTCCCCCCGCCGGCAGGCCTCTCCATTCACTGGTTCAGCATCTTCCACAGGCCGCCCTCCTGCAGGCTCCTGTGGGCTCCGCTCTCTCACAGCCACAAAGCAATGCTGACAGGAAAGGAAGAGACCTGCTTCGCTGCTAACTGCAATTTTTAATCTCAGTTTTCTCCCTTGCAATAAATAATATCTCTGGCTATTTACACACACACACACACACACACACACACACACACACACACACACGCTCTTTGTTCTGACGCTACAGGATTGCAATGCTGGGGGAAGAAAGTCAGTGTTATCTTGGCTATGGGTTATTTATGAAGTGCTATAAACCAAGGAAAGAAACATTTTAGATTGGGGTGTGGACAAGAGGATTTCTGTTCTCGTCAAATTAAATTTCTCTGTTTCAAGTTTAAAAGAAATGGTGAAATCTGAACCCCCTGAGTCTAACAGGAATGCCTGCCTTCCTCACGTCCTCTTAAGGAAGAAATTTCCCTGGGGGCGAAGGGGGGTTGGTGGTTCTGCCTGCCTTTTTAGTCCTGTGCATCCTGGCTTAGAAGGGGCCAAGTTCATTTAAGTCCATTCCTCTGCTTTTTGCAGAAAAAAATTCTATCTTGTAGTACAAATGGAGTTCAAGAGTTTGCAGAACAAGGAAGAAAATTTGCAATTTTCCTTGCTAGCTCCTGCTAGGGTTGACTATAATGTGAGTATATAAAAATTCGTCCACATCCCTTAACCATGGTTCTCTGCGTGATCTTGAGAGGCGTGCTTACTGGAGGTTTGGGTCCAGCCCCTTTGAGGCTCAGTGCCAGCCTTATTTTGAGACTCGACAATATCAATAATTTCTCATGGACCCCTAAAGCCCAACATTGAGTCATTGTTACATCCCCACCTTGAAACAGAGTGAGCACATTCTAGATCAGCGAAATTAGGAGTGCAGATGTGGAAGCATTTCTGCCCAAAAGAAGCATCTGACTTGTGCTTACATGCTCGGCTGTCCCTGGGACCTGCTACATAGGACCCTGCAAGGCTCTGAATACTGGACCTGGGTGATGCTGGACATCAAGCTACTGATTATCCATTGACCCAATCAATGATGGCGGCTGTCTCTTTGAGGAAGCTCCCTGACCCTTGGGAAGGCATTTCTGCAGGGTCCGGGAGAAGCAGCCACCAGTTCCAGAGGTGGAATGATGGGGCTGACGGGAAGAAACAAGGAAAGGAGGGAGGCTGACCTGATATCTGGCTCTCCCTGTGCTAAAATCTCTAAATCCTTCCAGTCCCATGGATCAGGCAACCTGCACAAAGTCAACTTTATGACTAGCAGCATTGTTTGGTCTTCCAAAATAACCTTGAGAAAATACAGATAAAGGGAGAGTAACGAAAAACTTTATCCGTTTTAAAAAGGCACACATCTCCCTGCTCATTTTGCAAGAAATGAAAAAACAATCTTAACACACAGTTGCCATGGTAATAACTGCCGAGTTTAAATGACAATATTTTAATTGCCGCTATTATAAAGTAGGTGGGCTTTTCACGTTGATAGGTGAAATATGGAAATTATCTTTAGTTAAAAAGTTTTTTTCCAGACTTGGCCCTTTGGATAGCGAGAGACAACCTAGTCTAAATAGGAAGGAACCATATATAGTATGTCTAAGTCACTCTATAATGTTGGCCTAAGGATGCCAAGTCTGCTGATGCTATCATCACAGAGAAATTAGGACAAAGGTAACAACATTCATGACTTTTAAAGATAAAAAAAGCCCATGTCCCTTTTTCTATAATGAACATTTAGGAAATTCAGATATGCAAAAATAAAATTAATATCATCAATGATGACAACTCCAACAGGTAACCAAGGTACGTATTCTGGGTTACGTCCTTTGTGCTTAGCTGTCTCATCTGTTTTAGGCATCGAAAGCTTTAATTAGATTATCCTCACATGCTGCTAGAAAAAGTCTTTAAAAACAGCTCCCCACTCCCCGGTCTCTGAAGAGGCGCCACTAAGACCAACAACCAGCAGAGTGGGTGGGTTTTTAAGACGTTCAACTACTAGGATTTTGAAATCAAGAGTAGACAGAGGTGGGATTACGTGTCAGGCTGAGTCTCTCTGGCATCAGTCCCACTGAAGGGACAGTGGCTAGGGACCCTCTTTTCAGAGCTTTGCATCTTTTTGTCCATCACCCAACATCCTGAGCCTAAACAGGTCTTAGGAATAGGTAACCTAGCTTCCTCCAAAGCAGAGGATTGCACATATTGGTAGTTCTGAAAAACAGCTTCTATAATTTGGTTGTCTCTCCTGCACTCGGGTTTTGCTGGGTTGCTTTTCAAAGATGTTATCTGAAAATATGGGGAAGAGCAGGAGCTAATAGCTACAATTTTAAAAAGAAGTTTAACTCTTCACTTAATCTGTCAAAGGAGCATAGTAGTATATGATTAATAGCTCTTGTCATCAAATCAGATTGGGTTTTAGGATAAGCACACCACTCACCAAAAAAACATACGGGGCTCCAAATGGCTTGTTGATGAAATTAATAGCATATTTTATAAGAGCTTAGACGTCTCAAATGTAAGAAGCTGCCCAAGGGTCCATGAGGACTGCTAAAAGCTCCTACAGCAGTTATGCTGGAGAGCCAGTTCGCAGAATTTTAATGTCCACATCAGAGCCTATGTAGCCTTATGTGAGAAAATAAGCATTAAGACTGATGTACGCTCCCCCAACCCCCTTTGATTATTTGCTTATTTCAGGAGATGTGTCTCCTTCAGGTTCTTTGCTTTAAGGATTTTATAGAAGCTGAAGAACCCTTTAGAATCAGAGAAAAAAAAACAGTGGTTTGGGTCTAAGCCTCTCCTCCTCCTCCTGTATCATGTAACCATAGTAACCACGCCAGAGGCTATGTGTATGGATGGACCCATAGCTGTCCTGTAGCTTTCTCACTGAGGATCCTGTACATGGTTTATCAACAAGGAAACCGAGGCTCTGTTCACAGGAAGTGGCAGGTTTAGGATTTCTGACTCCTAGTGCAGCATCCTATCACTTCACCCTGTGTCTGTGTCTCTCTCTCTCTCTCTCTCCACCAGTGGCAATACCTGGGCACTTGTCAGAAATCAATGCACATTCTTGGCCCCACCCAGACCTACGGAATCAGAGGCTGTGGGAGCGGGGTCCGGCACCCGTGTCTTCATGAGCCCTCCATGGGTTCTGATGCACACTACATTTGAGAACCACGGCTCTAGAGTAAATGGTAAATTCTACATTGAGTTCTACATTTTAGAAAAATTCTGAGAAACCACCTTTAAAAGCCAAGGTCTCCAGGGAGCCAAGTTCACTTTCCATGCAGGGTGCAGTGGGGCAGACAGACGTTGGCTCCATCCCCACCCTATGCAGAATCGCTTCTGCTGTTGGGTCAGTTGTTTACCTTCTCTGAGCTGCAATGTTCCAAAACAACAGGTCTTTTTTTTTTTTTCTTTTTTCAGTGAATTAAACCTGATTTATTAGTCTTAGATTTCTGAATACCATTCCAAACTTTGAAGTTAAAGGCTTGTAGTTAAAATCTTGAAGTCATGAGTCTGGGCACCTGTGTAGGATCTGCCTCCAAATCTTATCATTTTCAACAGGAGACATTGTTCCCTGCCATAGGAGTGAAGCAGCACGGTGCTGTGAGCAGGACAGAAAAGGTAAAACGGTGTCCAGAATTCGGGGCTGCAGGTTCTGGTTGGCACTATTCAAAGCAGAATTCTGCAGTCTGTGCCCCCTCATCCTCTCACTCTGTTCCCTGATAATGAGATGATCAGTGTCAGAGATCAGCCAAGGAGCTGATTCTACCTGAGGCCGACTGAAGGCAGGTCCAAGCTTGCTGCCTGAGCCACTGAAGGGTAAACTCAATTAAGAGCTTCCTAGACTCTCAGCCATCTGTCTCAGCCTGGCCTTTGTTTTCAGGGAAGATAAGTTATTTCCTCCCTAGTCCCTCAGTTTTAAAGGGATTTGGTTCTCAATATTTGCTTCTACTCATTTCAGTGTAACAAATTAGAAGGGTAAGGTAACAGGGAGTCAACACAACTGCCTGAGCTGAAATCCTGGCTGCACACGTGCTGGCTGTGTCGTGTAACTGGGGGCAAGTTATTCAAATTTAGTGTCTCAGTTTTGTCATCTGTAAAATGGGATAGTGGTACCCACCTTTCAGAATTACAATGACAATTAAGTGAAATCACACTGTTAAGAATACAGCTGGTAGACAATATATTTGCTATAATTTCAACTCCTTATTTTGCCAATAGCTCCTTCCAAAAAGACCACTGAAATTTCACCTGCTGTTTTTTTTTCTCTTTCTCAACAAAGAATTGGTTGAAGATAGGCAGCCAGAAAGGAGGGAGGAAAGCAAACAGCCTATTAGACTCTGAAGTGATATGACAAAGCATGAATGATTAAGAATGGACCGTCACCCTAGTCTTCAGGGAGCAAAGATCTAGACTTTCTCCTGAATGATCTATGAACAGGTACAATGTCACCATACCACTGATTAGTGCCAGGTGCCCAAGAAGACTTAGGATACAAAGACGATGTCAACAAAGGCGTACTAGACACAATTTACCCAACAGAAATGATCGTATTATTATGCACCGAAATGTTCATTCATGTCAACAAATATCTGAAGCACTGTTCTACGTGCTGGAAATAAGACAGTCAACTACCCTGGTCTTGTGGAGGAAAGACCTCTCACTTTAGACACAACTGAGAATCCTCTTCCACTCAACAAACATGCTCCTTAGTCTTACAGTCTTTTTAGGGAAAAGCAATGATAATAACCACTCAATAAATGCTGGCTCCCACGTGCTGGTCCTGGTCCAAATGTAAGACACAGGCCATTTGTCCCCACTGTGGCCTCTGATGTGAGCAGTGCTGTTAGGCACATTATGCAGATTTGGAAACTGAGGTCTTAGAAAGATTAAATCACTTCTCAAGTTTCAATGATGGGTAAATTGTAAAGTCAGGATGGGCTCAAAACCTGGGCTCTTAATCCTTACTTGGGTTACAGCCATGGATTTCCATAGATTTATTATTATCTTTTTTTAACAAGCAGTAGAGAGAAGTTGAATTCAGCCTTTATCTCTAAATTTATAAAACTGCTGGATTATTTTAATGGAAGGCTGGGCTCAGTTTCAGCCAAGTCACCCTAATATTTGTCTTCAGCAGACCCTCCACTGCTAAA